TGTCCCCTGCAGAGAGAGATGTAAGTACTTCACTTACATGGGCTTTGCTGCTGCAGAGACGAGCTCTTTATATATTTTAGATATCAACCCCTTATTGTCATAAGATATGCACATATGACTGATGTTGTCATACTTGGGGTTGTCCTAAGGAGATCCAGCAGGCTAGAAATCAGAACAATTCTGGCAATGTCTGGAAGCATGGTTCTAATGCAGCGGTCTTTCTTCTTCCTCTTCTGTGTGATTGTCATGCATGGTATATTATAAAATATACATTTTTTTAAACTTGCATTTCCATTTATGGGAGGTGGCATGTGCAAGCGTATACATGTGGCAGTCAGGAGACAACTCTCTGGAGTTGGTGCCTTCTGTCCACCATGTGGGTTCTGGGGATTGAACTTGGGCTGTCAAACTTGCTTATAAGTCTTTACCCCCTGGGCCATCTTGCTGGTCCACTCTTTAACTGAATTTTTAAGACAAGGTCTCGTTATATAGTTCAGGTTGTGTTGAACTTGGAATCTTTCTGGCCAGGCAGGTACAGCTACACTGGGCATAACTGTGTATCTATTGGTGGCTACACAAAATATAGGATTTTTGTATTATCCATGGTATTTCTCTTTCCTGGAGCCTTATCTCTTTGTAGATTTGAATTGCTACTTGAAATCATCTTTTTACTTGAATGACTGCTGCCCTGTATCTATTACTTTTTATGGGAATGTCTTTATTTTACCTTTACTTATTTTAGAGATAGTTTTTCTATCCTAATGGCTCCTTTTCTTTATCTCCCTCCCCCCCCCCACAGACAGGGTTTCTCGTGTGTAGTCCTGGGTGACGTGTAACTCAGAGATCCACATGCCTCTGACTCCTGGGATTAAACATATGTGCTACCACCACCTGGCTTTTCCTTTTTAAAAATGATTTTTATTACTTAAAAATTTACATGTGTGTACCAGATGCCTGTGGAGAACAGAATAGGGTATTAGACCCCCTGGAGCTTGAATTGTAGACAGTTGTGATCTGCCCGGTAAGGGTGCCAGAAACTGAACTCAGGTCCTCTGAAAGAGCAGCAAGTGCTCACTGCTGAGCCGTCTCTCCAGTCTCTATCCTCAGGATTCTTGGTTGCCTTTTTTTTTTTTTTTTCATACAGTATCAGTTCATTGCCTCCTAGTGACAGGGGTGGGGAGTGTTTTGCTATCCCCTGTACAATTCTCTCAGGCTCTCATCTTTTAGTCATTTGATTGTTTCCTTCTCTTGGTGTTTATGGAGCTTCTTGGGTATCTGATTGGGCAGTTTTCTTCAGTTATCTTTCGGCCCCTTCCCTGCCTTTGGCTCTACTGGCATGTTCAGGGTTGCTGCGTTAGAATTTAAGGCTATTTATTCTTTTTTTGTTCTTGTTTTCCCAGTTTTTTTTTTTTTAACATCAGATGGGTCTACTGCTATCTTCAGTTTACATGGCTGCTTTCCAGAGTCTGTCCACATTCTAGCACATTTTAGTCATTTTGTTCGACAGGGTCTCTGTGATCCTCCTGCCTTTGCCTCCTGGATGTTGGGATTGCAGGTAAGCATCCACTCATTAGGATGTCTTTAAAAATGTTTATTAAGATTCTCCATTGGCTAATTCACTGTTGCACACTCTAAGGTTTCCTTTCATTGGTTCTGTTGGACTGAATGCAGCAGGGCCTTGTGTATGTTAAGCACATGCTGTCACTGAGCCACATTCCTGACCCTGATCATTTTGTTGTATTTCAAGACAGGGTTTCTCTGTAGCTTTGGAGCCTGTCCTGGAACTAGATCTTGTAGATTAGGCTGGCCTCGAACTCACAGAGATCCACCTTTCTCTGCCTCCCGAGTGCCGGGATTAGAGGCGTGCGCCACCACCGTCCAGCCCCTTATCATATTTGTAATAGATGATTTGAGGTCTCTAAATCCAACATCTGTACACACACTTTTTCCCTTGGGGATGAGTTTTTATTTGAATGTATCAGTTCTGGTTGAGAAAAAAGGGTATCAATTTTAGTAATTAGAGGCTCTCAACTTTCCCTTTGTTAAGGAGGTTCTTATTTATTATCATTATTTTTGGTTAAGGCTAGCTCTTATATAGCTCAGGCTGGTCCTGAACTTGCTATACAACGAAGGCAGCCTTGAACTGCTGACCTTCCTGCTCCTCCCTCCCACGGTTTTTCTTAGCACCTCTGCTTAATCTGTGGATTTGGTTTCCCATACAGCACAAGAGGCAACGTTCCCATCCTCTCCCAGCTTCGTAAGCTACCCTATGCCTATGGTCAATGGTTTGGGCAGATATTCCTCCTTTGTTGTCTATTTGTGTTTATCTGAGGGTGCACACTCAGTTTGAAAGTCAGCCCTAGCTTGCACTTTTCCCCTATTCAGGTCTTCTAGGTGAATGTATGGAGAACATAGCAAGACCTCCATGGCTGCCTCACTTCCCACTCTGACAACCTGGGTGGGCTGCTGGTCTGCTGCCAGGATCATGCCAGGCTAGGTGGGCACTGGTCTTCCCCACATAGTCACCAGTTACTACTGCCAGTGGGCATGGGGTGATACTTGGACATCAGCTTCATCCAAGACTCCAGATTAGAATGTTTTTAGAGCCCGATGCAATCATGGGATCTCCTCACTCCTTTCTTTGCATCCCAGGGAAAGCAAGTGTTACTCCAGAAGGCCTTTGAGCCTTTTGGTGAAGGTAGCCAGGCTCAGCGGCCAGCCTTCTGATGGCTGCATCGTTCCTCATTGTCACTTCTGCTTGGCATTCATGTCTACTTAATGTCTAGATGATCCCTGGACCAAAAGGGATAATGGATAATTCCCTGACAAAGTCCTAAGGGTGATGATGGGTCCTTAGTCTTCTAAGGAGTGGACAGGGCTGGTAAAATGGCTCAGAGGGTAAAAGTCCTTGCCACACAGCTTAATAAACTGTGCTTGGTCTCCTGAACCCATGCTGTCCTCTGACCTCCACACGTGCACTATGGCACACTTGTGCCTTGAGAACGTGCTAGTGATACCCAGCAGTGGAGTCGTGATGACTGATGGGACTCCTCAGAAAGCTGTTACTATCCACACTGCAGGTGAGATGGCCGGAGCCTTCCCAAGGGTGGGAACGAGAGCTCTGCTCAGGTTCATCGAGTCCAGTTTTGAGGCAGGGTCTCGTTATGACCCTAGGCTGGCCTGGAACTTGCTGTGATTCTCTTGTTCCTGCCTCCAGAGTGCTGGGATTACAGGTGTGCACCACCATGCCCAGCTTCATCTGCACTCTGTGGTGTGGCTATCGAAGGGCCCTGGAAGTACAGGCAGAATGCCGTTAGCCTTTCCTATAGCCAAGTGTGAGCTTTCAGTGTGGTTTCAATCTCTCATCTCTAGCCACCTTCCTGCTATGAGATGAGTCATGATGGTCTAGCCCACTCTGGTTTCACATCCTTTTGGGTAGAGGTGCCATTATCCTACTTGATCGACAGCTGCAAGACACCCTTCTTTGGGTGATGCTGCTCACTGAAGCTGTCCTAGTACCATTACTTTATAACTGCCCACCAGGATTTTCAGCCACCGCGAGGCATCCAGTTATGTCCAGGACTAGAGAAACTCCAGTAGACGCAAAGACAACTCATGTCTGCGGTGCATGCACTTTCGGAATAAAGAGAACAGCTGTTAGTCTACCATTACTTTCTGTACTTCTTGTCCGGGTGACCCTGCCAACTCGTGGACAATACATACACAAGAGAGGTGAGCTTGGATCCAGAGTTCATAGCACCCAGGACAGTGAACCAGGCCCTGGTCTAACCCTTCCACATACTGACCCACACTCAGGTATCAGAGGCATCTAAGAACAGGGACACTGACTTCATTTCTGACACCTGTTTGCTTTGTCCATCACCCCCCAAAAACCTACTTTGTTTTCATCCAGCACCCCAGTAGTTCTGAGTAACTGCAGACACCACATTCCTCCTCTTTCCTGACAAGAGGCTTTGACCCCATTGTCTGTGCTACTCACATGGTGCCTCCGAGCGCTGTCTCCCCGGGTGGATCAAGGGCAACTGCCGGTGCTAGCCGAGCCCATACCCTGGCCCTGGCTCTCAGCCGCTGACTCGGGATTCCCTGCTCACAGGGTGCAGCTGCAGGCAGAGAAGCAGTCCACTGGATTCTGTATCCGTCTCCTACTTCTTGTTTTGAGGCAGTCTCATATATAGATCAGGGTGGCCTAGATCTCAGACCTGGGTCACAATACCCAGCTCAAGCCTCCCTTCCTGCCTCTCTTTCTAGAACACTGACTTAGGGTAGTTCAAGTTAGTATTATATCTTGACATATCGTTTCATAAAAAAAAAAAAAAAACCACCCTCTGCTTTACAAACAAAAACACAACCCCCAAACCAGAACCAAGTTTAATAATCAGCCAAGAGTTCCTCCCCCCTTTCTTTGCTTGCAGTTCTTTCAGATGCTGCCTCAATTCCCCGGAGACACAGAGCTGGTCCTGAGGAACTGGTGGGGGAGGGTGTCAAGGGCACACAATCATGTCTTTCCTGATCCTAGTGCCGTACATGCTCAGACTTCAAAACCCAGGAGACCTAAACACTGCCCCCCAAATCTTCAAGGGTGGGGTGGTCCCAGAGCTCATGGTGCTGAGGACACTGGAAATCCTGCATGCAGGCAGTTTTTCTCTGGAGCCAGTATCCATAAACAGGCTAAGTCCCTTCCTCCTGATGTCTTTCCTGTCCCTTCTCTAAACCATTTCTCTCTTGGGAACTCCCACTCAGCAGTGAGCACTCTGTAGAACACTCTACAGAAACATTATTAAAGAACTTGTATTTATCTGGAGGGATCTGGAGTACTGGTAGTGCCCTATGACGGGGGGCCAAGGCCAGCTCTGGACAGATACCCCATTCATTCTCAGCAATTTTAGGAGGCAAAGGAGGGGCTCTCCCTTCTCTCAGTCCCTAGAACGTGGGACAAGAAAATGGGTGGCTGGGAGTGGATTGAAATGACAAACGGTGGATCTTCTACAAATGTGGAGGTTTATTTCAACAAAATGTGAAAAGAGTGCATTGGACTGAAGCCCCTTGCTCGTTGGCGTGTGTGTCCATCCAATTCTCACTGACACGAGTGAAGGCTGCTTTGTGAACAGATAATATGGCAATCTCAGTTCAAGCAAGTCTGGGTCAATATATCATTCATCCTCCTCCCTCAGTAACCTTGCATGTGTAATGGGCTGTGGGACCATCAGATTGCTCATGTGTTGTGGTTCTGACTTCTCCATATGAAAAGCCCCTGTCCTGGGGATGGGGCAGCAGGGATAGGGGAATTAGAAACACAGCCCATCTCACCTCTGAAGAAATGCCGGGACAGGCCTCCAGGAGGGTAAAACTTTCATACCACCAGCGATGTGTGGGACTGCATGTGCTGCAGTGACGCGGAGGCTGGAGACAAATCCTATCCTTACCCAGCAGGTAAGCTTCCTTCTGGACTAAGGATGCTCTCCACCTGCTCCTGCCTGCCTGTTCCTTCCACCAGGGCTCGTGGGGGCAGAACAGTTTGCATCCAGTCCCCCAGATGTCCACTTGCAATACTTGTGATGTGGAGCTGATGAGAAGTTCTCTGGAATATCAGAACGAGATGTTCCTGAAGAGGAGGCCAGCTCTTTCTGTAGAATCCAGGGTTAAGGCTCAGACTGAAGTATTCATGCCAATGGTTTCTGGGGCATCTTAGTGATTTCCTCCTGGGTCTCCAGTGAGAAACATTAGTCATACTGCAGGCAACAGCGCTGATCATCTCCACTCTTGTAGTGGGAACACCGAGGCTCCTTTCTTGGATAAATGGGTTGTTAAGCTCTGCAGCTCACCTCTGAGGAGGCCCTGTTGCCGGCCATGGAGAACCCAGAAAGTCTGGAAATACCAGCACCGTGACTGAACTGTAAGGAATCTTAAGGGTAGGTGAATTCTTGTTCCCTGGATGCTTTCTCACACCAGGAAGGCCAGTGTCCGGTGCTGAAAGCCCAGCTGTCATCAAGGTGGACCTGCCATACTTTATGCCAGGAATAGGGATGAGTAACTTTGTAGGCATGGCCCCACAGTGACAACCTTTCCAGTCCTCAGAAGAGACTTCTGTCTCGGACTACTCTCTGATAGGAAAGATAGTCTCCTTTTAGCTCACCACCTCAGGCTCTGCATTGCCTGCCTCCAAACACCCACACAGAGGCTATGGCATTGGCCTTTAGCTCCTGGGTATATAAGCAAGGTGGTGGCACGTTGGCCATCTCCCCAGGTGTACTGAGAAGCCACTCAAGGTTGAGAGTGTTTTAATTGCAAAAATGACTTGATCTGCTTTTCAGCCTGCCTCTTAAATCATGGTTTTGCCCTCGTCTCTCATAAATAGGTATCTTGGTATAGTTAAATGGGGACTGTTCCTCTCCAGTGCCTGGTGTGTGCCAGGCTGCACATGGGGCAGTGATGGATGGACTTGAGTCTCCTCCATCCTCAGCCCCAGCCCTCCCCTGCTGCCTGTGGCTGCAGCTGTGGCTCATTGGGCAGGGGCTGCAGAAGCTTGGACACTGTCCCCACAGCCCTGTGCTGGGGTGGGCAGGACAGGAGGCGGTCCTGCTTTTAGTCTAGTAAGACCTCATGGTACAGGCGTGTACCCTTCATTGCCTTCTAGTCCTGTGCATGGAAAGAGGACTGTCAGCAGAGCTGGGCTAACAAATACTGAACTGGGTATGTGTGACTGGGCTGTGTGATCCTACAGCCCAGGATGTCATGCAGAACCTGACACATTCAAGGGGAAGCAAATGCCACTCTGACTCAAGTACTGGGCGTCCGGTGCCTTCTCATTACAGTGGTTTCAGATGTAAGAGGCAGCCCTAGCTCTCTTCTCCAGAGACAGGGCAGGAATGGGTGAGAAGCATCTCCTACGTGGAAGGGGAATCCATGGTGGAGAGGATCCTTACAACTTCTGCTCGCTGAGTGGGTGAGATGTGCTGGGTCATATGGACGATGGAATCCATGGCAACTTCTGGATTGGCCTGTACCAAGCTGGAGAGAAGATTGGAGAAGGTGAAGAAAAGATAGAAAGCAGTGTCTAGACTGGGGCACTTAAGAACTGCCTGACAGACATGCTGACAAGGGCAGATGTGCACAGTGGGCTCACCTCCTCATGAGTTCTCCTTTGTTCAAATGTCCCTAGCAGCTAAGGATTGTTTTTAAAAGGCACTAGAAAACATTTTGCGATGTTAGAAAATAAGGAGCAATTAAAAAATAAACCCCAGCCAGGCCTTTAATCCTAGCACTTGGGCAGTAGAGATGGGGAGATATCTTGAGTATTTGAGGCCAGCCTGGTCTACACAGACAAACTCTGTCTTAAAAAATCTAAATAAGCTGGGTGGTGGTGGTGGCGCTTTTAACCCCAGCACTCGAGAGGCAGAGAGGAACTCCTCTGAGTTCCAGGACAGCCAGGGCAACACAGGAAAACCCTGTCTTGAAAAAAATAAAAAGAAAAACATAAACTCCAAAACAAAAACAGTGGGGACATGCCATGGGAAAATGGTCTTTTATTCTGTAACTTGTATTATTTTTAACAAAATGCTGATTGGCCAGTAGCCAGGCAGGAAGTATAGGCGGAGCAATGAGAACAGGAGAATTTTTGGATGAGGAAAAGTCATTCTACAATTGTCATCCAGACAGAGGAACCAAGATGTGACTGCCTTGAATTGTGGGCTAATAAAAGTTAAAAGAGTTAATAAGAAGCCTGAGATACTAGGCCAATCAGTTTATAATTAATGTAGACCTCTGTGTGATTTCTTTGGGACTTAACAGTAGGAACTGGGCAGGACAGAAACCTCAGTCCACAGGGACACACTGACAATGGTGCCTGAATGAAGGGCCCTTTCTAGACAAATATGCATTATTTTGATGCCATATATCCCAGAAGCAAACCATAAAATAAAGGAAGTAGGAATTTCCTAGTCTTCATCAATAATGTAGAAATGCATCAGGGAGACAGGAACTGCTGCTTACAGAGTTTGAGTGAGGGCATAACTGAGGAAGCAGAGTACAGTTCACAGTAAAGATTCTTCAGTCTAGAAAAGGACTGATGGGGAGCTTCTCTGGCCTGCAAGTGTCTTCCCACAGGTTAGTTAGTGAGTAGCAAGGCAGAGGGGGTGATGGTCAGTAATTATACAGTGGTGAAATCCAGAAACAGCTTGGCTGGGTGACTTTCAGTGGGGCTACTCTGTGATGGACAGAATATCACACATGTGATACAGATACAATACAGAACTCAAACCACAGAGAAACATTAGACAGCCTAAAAATAAGTGATGTTCTACAAATGGAGGACTGGGGCAAGGCAGTGCTGGGGATACCAATGTGCTCTAGCACTGAGCCCAAGCTCGTAGGGAAAACTCTCCATAAAAGCATTTAGTCAGTAACTTACCAAAGTTGATGGTTTTACTGTAGCCACATAGGAGAATTTCTGTCCTTAGAGAGTTGCACACAATTTTGATAAGGTAAACATTTAAATGACAGGCGAATTACTAGTGCTAGCTTCTACTTTGCAGCTTTTCCCTCAGTAATATATTTCCAAGTAGTTGTATGGACATCTCCCAAGGAGATACCAGCCTTCCTGCCTTTCAAAATCATCCACTTAGTTTGAGTATCTGTACCTAGAGTGAATGCATGTGTAAAAGTAGCTGAGAGAGAGCTGTGTCTCAGGGATATTTCTGCATCTATTGGTCAACTATAGCAGTTCCAGACAGGGGAACCACAGGGATCAGAGCAGCACTATCTCATAGTTTATTATAAAACTTTTCAAGGACCCTGCTGGTGGCCTCACCTGCGGATCTGCTTGAGGACGTAGTCCCTGCTGATGTATTTGATGTTCTCCTCTATCACTGAGCGGACACCATCTTCCTCTGTCAGTTGCTTCTCCAGCCACTCCACCAGGTCCTTATTATTGTCCCAAACGTAAGCCTGCAAACAATCAAGTCCTGGTCAAATGCCATGAACTAGTCCTGGAAACCTGATTGCCCAGGATCTCAAAAACTTTCTTGGCATAAAAACATTGTTCACAATTCTCCTTTACGGTTCAGGGCTGGGGAGGAGGGGGCAGGTTCCCAGCCGGGAGCTGCCTTCCTCTCTCTTCCTTCCTTTGATTTTCAGGCACTCACATGGGAGTCTGTCCTATGAGGCTCTGTTCTCTACTGTCCCACAACAGTAGGTCTGCAAGGAGCAGGGTACTTAAGAGTGTGACTGGGAGGGAAAGATGTATGTGGCTGTCTCTTTTTGGAAGAACGGAGACACTGAAGTGCAATTCCAGTTCCAGCAAGATGTGGCAGACGAGGCTCTGTTTGTGCCTTAGTTCTCTAGCTGGGAAAGCCTTCTGTGGCTGGACCACTTCTTTAAAGGACACATGGGAGCAAGATGTAGAGGACAACACACAATACAACATGGATACTGATATGGTGGAATTTCTTGTTGCTACAGTGTTACCACCAAGCCAGAAACCCACCCCACTTTATTAGCTATGAGAGTACTGCAGAGGGTCAAGAAGTCTGTATCCCTGAGAGTCTCAACAGCCCACCTCTCGCCTCCTTTCTTTCAAGATCATTTAGCGAAGTATTTCTGAGGCAGCTGACTACATAATAATTCAGGAGTATGTTAGAAGCCTAATAGCCTTCTCCTTGCTCTCTTCTCTCATTTCTTTACAAATCATTTAGGAATCGTTTTGTTAATGGTTTCCGGAAAACCAAGTACCACCATTAGGGCTCATTCATATTTATGTCATTTTGTTTGGGTAATTAAACACAAAGCTCGTCATTTAAAGGTGCGCTATCCTTTTCTGTTATCACTAACGAAGTCAAAGTCAGAATGACAATGAGTTTGGCGCTGTAATTTAATAGGTGGGCACTGTAGGGACTCTGAGGCTTGTGTTGTGGATTCAGAAAATCCAGATAGACACAAGCAATGGCACAAAGCCACAGCTGTAACCTCAGGCCCTGCATAGTGCGGAGTGAACATTCACAAAAGAAGCATCCAGCATCAGGAAACTGGGCTGTCTTCTCACCTACTGCATGCTTTTAAAAATACCTTTTATTGCTAGGTGTGGTGGCTCACACCTTTTATCCTAACACCTGTAAGGCTGAGGCAGGTGGATAGGGAGTCCAAGGCCAGCCTGGGATACACTAAGTTATGATTAGCCAAGGGTACAGAGTAAGACCCTGTCTCTCAAAAGCAACCAACCAAACTATGGTTTCCTTTCAGACTAACTTCCTCCCCTAACTTAGTCGGTGGGCTGGCTGTGCCCGACTGTTTACTATGCTGAATCACAGGTTCCCAGGATTAATGTCAGTAGTGAGCCTTTTCCAGCAGTCTTGTGTCTCTCCTTTCCTGGCTCTGGATTTGTCCACCTTGGGCATCTCTGACAGAGATCAGCTCTCCCTCACAGAACAAGCTGGGAACTACCCACCTCCGTGTTTCACTTGGGAGTACTCCTGTCTGAGGGTCTGCAATAGGGAAATGCTTTTGCTCCACAGGAAAGCTGTAGCTAGCCCTGCTGACAATGAGCCTTGCTCATGTGGTCTACTTTATACCTGGACTCCAGCCACTGGCACCTTTATAAACTTGGCCGTTTCCACTGTTGGTGATTAAGAGTTCCCTGTGGCTAGAGGACTTCACAGCTTCCCCAACTTAGGAGGATTTGTTGGAGAGACGTGCAAAAAATAAAACAATGGCAGCTTCTTGAGCTTCAGAAGGAAACCAAACAAAACCCAACTAGATTCACTCAGGAGTTCCAAAGCCTTTAGTTTAGGAGAATATTTAATACTCTTATTAATCATTTTTAATCCGTTTGCTTTTAATTAAGAAACAGCATGATGCTTTGCTATCAACATATGCCAGGGAGCAGATTAATTGTGGCTTAAGATAACTCTCCTTGATTGGTGTAATGTATTAGCTAACGAGATGCTGGCTTCTAACGATGCTCACACACTACACTGGAGAAAGGCAGCTACCCTCTAGAGTAAATACTCCTGCCTTCCTCTGCTGCAGGCACAAACTAAAGTAGGTGTTTAAACATTTAAAACAGTCCCCAGGCAGAATAACAGACAGCAACACATTCCAAGTTTTTAGATTCTAAAAATATGGACCCTGCATATAAACTGCATATAAAACATGCTGTTTATTCCTAACACACACAACTGGATGACACCACCAAGTCTGAAGCCCACAGTACATGAAGACAGAGGACTCTGAGTTCTAACCAATTAAATTTTAGCAAAAAGAAACAAACTTTTGTACACACTGCTATGTTTTCCCTCAATCTGTCTGGGAGGGCTTACCATGCTCTAAGCTATTCTCTTGCACTCAGGAAAAGCAAGCTGCCTTCTGGGACAGCCATAAGACTCACTAATCCAGTCATGAGGAAGGGCAGGTCCAAGGGGGAAAGCCATTATCACTTTCTTCCTTAGAATTATAAAAAATGTAGCTATTTGCCTTCCTAGGATTCCAGAGTAGATCTTAAACAAGTGTGAAATGCTGGGCTGCTAGCTCCACGACAGCCTTGGGCCCATATCGCCCACCTGACATCCCAGCCAGAGCATCTTAATATCAATAAAATATCAACAATTAAACATCACAACACTGGCTTGCCTTACACGTTCACCAGACAACTCTCTCTTTCTGCATCAATGGATAAGTAAGTATCTCAGGCACCACTCAGCCTCACTAATTATATGTAATAATTAGTCTAGCTTACAAAATCTAAATGACCTGTTTGAAAAGGTTCATTTCTAATGCACTGGACAGCTGTTAAGCTCTCCCTAAGCAATAGTTGTACAGGTCCAGGGAGTGACCAGGGCACAACCTGGTGGCTGTGAGCCTCGACTATCACACCTACAAATGACTTCACCATGTGAGTTACTTCCAGCTGGAGAGATACCTGGTGAAGACATATACATCCGAGAAAGGAAGTTGCTTTTAATGTATCTATGTTTCTAAGGTTATGACCTTCTGAAGCCCAAGATGCAATGTGATTTCTTTCAGAGTCTCTGCGGCACAACACCAAAAGACCATGAGAACAGTGATTTGCTAGATTTTATGGCTGGGCCAGGCAATTCTTGCCTATTTTTCCCTTACCTCATCCCTCGCTGATACACCAGGCCATCTGTGGGTGCTTGAGACAGTAGAGACCTTATCAACAGTGCTCTCTCTGATCCTCATTCCATTGGAACTCCAGAATAAGAGGAAGTGGGTAACTGGACAATTAGAATGAACTAGGGCATTAAGCCCTGGGCACACTAGTGTGAGTCTGATAGTCCTTCCAGAATGAGTCAGTTCATCTAGTCTCATGCTTTGATTTTATGTGCTCTCTTTCTCTCTTCTCCCTCTCCCCCTCTCCCCCACCCCCCAGGCTCTCACCATATATTCCTGGCTAACCTGAACTCATAGAAGATCACATCCTTGAGTTCTGGGATTAAAGGTATGCTCTATCATGTCTGGCTGCTATTTAATGTATAACATGCTTTACTTTTGACATTTAAACCCACTGAGTCCTGTGATACCATAAACATTATCCCCAATTCATACATGAGGGAATGGAGGCTCAAATCATGTGTCCAATCAAATAGAAGCTAGGAACTTCTTTTTAAGTGAGTTTGTGAGATCCCAAAAATTTACATTTGTTCTCCAATGTTCCAAGCAAAGTCTTTGTTTCTCTGTGTAGCCCCAGTTGTCCTGAAACTCTATAGACCAGGCTGGTCTCAAGTGTTGGGATTACAAGCATGCACAACCACTGCCTGGCTCCATGCAATGTTTTAATTGTGATTTCTCCTGTCAGAGTCTTCAGGCAGAGAACCAATTAGCCTATTGGGAAAACTGCATACTTCAAATTGTGGAGCTAGAAATCAAGAGAGAAACCATCCCCATGAAGCAAGCAAGTGCCATGTTTGCACAACCAAATTCAATCCACAGCTCTTGGAACCTTTTCCTTAGGGAGTTGTAGCAATGCTGTTGCTTTTACCCACGGTGAGACCATGAACTATAAACCCAAGTACTTCCTACAACACGGCTGCCCAGTGAATCCAGGTGCAACCCTAGAGCTCATGGGATGGAGGTCTTTAAGGGGAACAAAAGATTTATCGCTCAATTTTCCATTCTAAAATCTTTTGCCAGGATCAAGAAAACAAAATCTCTGTGGAAAAACCAATACAAAGCATGGCTAATAAATGCTTGTCACTACATGCCTTCTTTACCAATAACAGCAGCAAAGGTCCTGGTACTCAAGAGGACTCTACCAGTCTTTGCATTTGAGGGAAACAGACATGAAATCTGTCATTATTTGAAGACCCTGCCACCATACAGAGTGCTCTCAGCCACTACTTAACATCAGGCAGCTTATATAGTAGCCCTTCAGAGGCAACTCTACACCTTGAACACTGCAGCACTTTCTTCTCTCAAGGGCGCTGCAGATTTTATCACCTATCCCACACTCAGGGCCTGCTGAGCCTGCAGAATGTGGCAGGAGGTTTCAAAGCCATATGTCCTGACTTCACAGGATCACTTGTCCTTCCTTTCTTTTTTCCCTGTCTCCTAGGATGAGAGCTCACGGGAAAGGCAATCTTCTGTAAACACAAGCAAGGGAAATAGTATCAACTGGTACTCAGTGTGCAGACAGCCTCTTTCTGAGCTGTGAGCCTGCAGTGTCTTCTGCACTCAATCCAGCAAGGCGCCTGTGCACACACAGCTCCCCATTGATGAGAGATAGCAATGGCCTGTTTCTTTAGACACACTGCCCCCTGGGAGGATGCCACTAAGAGTAAGTGAGGGGACCTATCTATTCACTACATGCTTGGAGGGAGGCTATTCCTTCTCCTCATCCTTGTGCCCACCGAGGCTGTGCATGTCCATTAGTGACTAATGTGGTAGGGAGGCGTATGGGCCACACACACACACTCCATTTACCTAGCCGACCACTCTTAACTGGAGAACAACCTCTTATTTTACACTTGCATGACTTTCAATGCCAACTTCCACTAGAAGCCGCGAGTAGCCACTGACAAAATTGTCTCACTCAATTATGATGCCACAGACTGACCTTAACCTCAACCAAATGTCGGAGAATTTGGTTCCCACTCCCCTGCTGCACATCTGAAATATTTATCCAAGAAGCTTTCCAATCATAAAGAAACAGGCAGACTTAACACAAAGGTGACTCTTAGAACACTCCACATGACTGGATTTAAAACTGATGGCGAGTCTTACAGTTTCTTGATAAGAAAAGTTGTTAGCAAAGACTCCAGGTAGCATGAGGAGACTGGAGTGACCCTCTGTAAGACAAGGCACTTCATACCACCACCAACTAGTCACTCTCCAATCGCCAAAGATTTTGATCACATAGGTAATATATTACAAAATATATCTGTTTAGTGTAGCCTGATAAAACAGGACCGGCAAGATAGCTCAGTGGTGAAAAGCACTTGCTGTCCAGCCTGAAGTCCTGAGTTTGATCCCATGAACCAACATAATAGAAGAAGAGAACCAATTCCTTCAAGTCATCTTATGACTTCTCCATGTAAACTGTGGCATGCCCAGACTCACACACAAAATAAATGTTCTTAAAAATGTATACAGTAACACTAAAAAAGGTTAATCTTTTCCTTGGGACTCTAATTCAGGGGTGCACACATCATACAAGCAAGAGCTCTTTCCCTTAGCCACCCACATATGCCCTTAATTTTACTTAGTAAAAATGTAGACATAAAGGTTTAGCTTTTCCTTCCCTATTTCCTGTGGACTGTTTTGTGAAACCCAGGGACGAATGTTGACTACAGGCTTGTCCTGTCTGTAATTCTAATGCAAGAACACTGGGTACACTGTCTTGTTAAGAGGCCCTTCTATGAGATCACCCTAAGATGATGCCAGATGCATTCCTACTGGCAGGGCAGGCATGTTCTTCCAGCTCAGATGTAAAACCAAAACTATAGTCTTAGCATTGTTTGTGTGCGTGTATAAGATCATCACATCTATTAGGCTTCCTGAGGAGTGTAATTCTGCTGCTTACAACCATCTTCCAGACAGTGCAGACACCTCTGCAGCTCAGGCAGTTGGGTTTCTACCTAGTCAACTATTCTCTGAGTCATCCTGCCAGATACATGAGGCCTTTGCTAGCATACCTTGAACACACAATTGCTTCAGCTTGGAGCATTCTTTCTACCCCTGCTTCACCAACACAACTTTTCTTCTGGTTTATTAGGTCTGCTGTTGAGACATCCCTTCCTCCAGAAATCTTGCTCTTCCAACTTCAAAATTGGGTATCTACTCTGTGCAATATGACTGTGCTCTTTGTTGGGTTTAATACCAGCCTTGCTGCTGGGTAGGACAACACAAGCTCTCTGTGGGCAGGCATACTGTTTCTCACTGTTAAGTCCCCAGGGTCTAGTTCAGTGTCTGGCATGTTTTAAGTGTTCAAAACGGTTTGCTGAATGACTATATGGGCTGCAGATGGGCTCTTCTAGCTTTTCTAACATATCATAGCATATTATTTGGCTGTAATTTGGAATGGTAGAGGATCTGGGTTTTAGGTTCCTTGTACTCCCTACCCCTAAAGGCCTGAAGATTCTTAGCTAACAACCTTTGTAACTCTCATGGTTGGCTGTACAGCATCAAGGTTTGTAGGTGCTTCACCTACCTTTACTGTGCCTTCCACTTCTACAAACCAGCGTCTCAACATGGCCTGGATCTGGCCGTCAGTCAATTCAGGGTTGGCATTGTGGATTTTCTTCTTGACCAAGTCCTCTAGCAGGAGACGCCTCAGCCGCCAGTAGAAGAAGGTACGGGATGTTTTCCAATCTAAGATATCCTAGACTCCCAGAAGAGCACAGAGGAATTAGTGTAGACATTCTGGCACTAGCACTCAATCGGAAGAAACACCACAGCCATGAAAAGCCACTCTCCAGAAAAGCCCTTTAGAGACCCCAAAGATGGCCTAAACTCCCTACACCCCCAGTACATCCCTAAAATCACAGAACACGGTGCACAGCCAGTATTCTGGCAAATGCTATCCTACACATGATTGTAGTTCTGAGGAAGAGGCTAAATTCCCAGAGAACTAGAAAAGGAAAAATATGTTCTGAGCAGACAGCTCAACTTTCATGCAGATCAATGGTGAATTAGCTATCACCATAACTTTGACATTGTAATAATCCAGTCTGAGGATCACCTGTTTTGCTGTTCACCAACGAAGAGCTTGCTTGAGGATTCCATGGAAACCTAAATCATTTTGTTTTAGATGGCAGTGGATACAGAAAGGGGGAAATATCTCTTAAAAAAATCTGAAATGGTTTGATCTGCATAAGCTGTGTTGATATGGCTCTTGCAGCTCCTTACTTGTGGGCCTATGTCACTTGCAGAGCTCTGATAAGTCAGAAATGGCAACTTTGGTACTTACATTAATAACACCCTTCTCCTGCATCCGGCCTGGTGTGTCGTGCAAGTCAGCAAACTGCACAGCTACCTGATGGTAAATGGGAATTAGGAACTCCTCCCGTTCCTTCAACTTGTTCTCCAGTTCCTTCCGCTCAGTGGGGCTTAGCTCTGGGGTGCCTGCAATTATATAAAACTGCCTGTCACATTGCAGGGATCAGGAATCTTGGCACAGATGCAGTCACAGTCCTTCCCTCTAGGACCTGGCTTTCCATTGCATCACTCTTTGCTACAAAACAGACTCTGTGAGATAGTACTCCTGTCCTTGCTTTGTCACAGAGAGCCATGTGTCTTCTTTTCCCTACAGGTCATGAGTATGAAAGTAGTGGTGGCAATCCTGCTCTCCAGGTCTCTCTTAAACAGGAAAAGTGACCACCTGAAGGTCTGTACCTCTCTCATCAGTTCACTGTCCAACAGCAAGGCTCCTCTATCCCCACAAGTCAAGATACCATGCCCACCATTAGAGTAGTTGGACTAGTCCAAATATAGAATTTTGTAGGTGAGCTTCCCCTGGGACTGGAGTATAGGCCAGCAGCTCTGGTTTTAGCCAGTCCTCAATAGGTGCCTGTGAAACTGCTAAGCACTAAGATCACCCCTAAGTTGTAAGCTGCTGTATTCCTTAGCTTCTAATGTCAGATTTGAATATTCTTAAACTCAAAGTAGTACAATTCAACCAAGTAGAACCAGATTCATGTAACTCAGATCAGTCCTGACCCAATCCCTGACCAGGTGACAAAACTCTAGGTCTTAGGCTAAAAGAGAGGAAACAGGGAAAGAGAAGAGCAGATCCTCTGTGGACTGCTAAGCTTGGAACACACAGTACCATCACCTCATCAGAGATGATGCTCTTGTTACAAGGAAGACCATCTCCATCTACTGGGTTTTAGTAGAGGTCTTGCTATGTTGTGCTTCCCTCCCTAATTACTTTCAGAGTGGGGTCTGCAATCAATAATGAAAATTTATCTGCCCGCCCAGCAAAGCTGAGTACATCTAACTGAAGGAACAATAGGTGACAGCCCTGGTGCTGGAGTTATCTGATGTTTTGTCACTAACGCTGACAAATACACAAGCACAGGTGATGTGCTGCAGCAGAGAAAGGCCTGTTTTAAGCATATGCCTGTGTGGGAACATCTCGTTTTTTATGCCACTACGAATCATATGCTATGAATAACTTTGGGCTTCTGTGTGAGCCGGAAGTATCACACATAAGCAAATGCTAACTAAGCAAGGATGGGACTCTAGCATTTAGTTTTATTTTACGTGGACTTTTTGGATGCCCAGCTCCACCTCTCCATTTTAAAACTGTGAGAAAAGCTGGGCGGTGGTGGCACATACCTTTAATCCCAGCACTCGGGACGCAGAGGCAGGCGGATCTCTGTGAGTTCGAGGCCAGCCTGGTCTAGAAGAGCTAGTTCCAGGACAGGAACCAAAAAAGCTACGGAGAAACCCTGTCTCGAAAATCAAAACAAACAAACAAAAAACCTGTGAGAAGCAGTCACTGACCTGCTGTCTCAGACCCCATTTAGTCTTACCAACTCCTGAGGCTGTATTCTTCTTAGCATCTTACAAGTAAACATACAGATACCAAGAACTTGTGTGAGTCATCAAGGCCACAGATCAAGAAAGTGACAACCAGGACTCAGGGCAGCACTGCCCTGAAGCTGTTGGACAGTCACACTGCCTTTCTTACTTGCAGAGGACTACTACTTCTGTAGTAGTGGACCCTTCCATTTCAGGCTAAGTCATGTGGAAGTCACCTTAGTCCTATTGTGTAGCAAAGACAAAAGAACGTCTGCCATGTTCTCAGCAGCACCAAGATTTAAAGGAGCTTCTCCTTTACTATGAGGTTGAAGATGTAAAAATGCTGGGCCCCAGGAATGGCAGGACTTTCATGAAGAAAGTTCAGCAGGGAACTCCAAACCCTTCAAGATTCTTCTTCTAGGTAAGCAGCTGACATTGTACTTGAACACACGTATGCATCTACATGGGCCATATATAACATGCCACTTATTGTGCGTCAGGCCTGTACATGAGGCTTTCAGGATCATAGACCTCATAAGTCAACACACACATGATTCAGACCTAGGCTGGACAGCTGTTAACCCTGCTGCTAAGCTGAATCCTTCAGTGCTGCCAAGTATTTTCCAGGTCGCTTCACATACATTATCTCTGATCCTTATACCCTCCTTATAGACAAACTATCCATTTTACAAACCAGAATAAGAAGAGGCTCTGAAATGTAAAATGGCACCTAGCTGGTAAGTAACAGTCAGAATTTACACCTGGGTCTGGCCACCCCCAGTACCTGTGTTTGTCCTCCTTAATGGTACCAAAAGTGGCCAAGCAGATCTCCTGACAGTAGCTGGACTGTTGGTTCCTTGTGTTTGCAGAATTAAGAGCAGCCTCAACACTTGGATGCAAGAGGAGGAACTACAGGCTGAAGAGAGCCTTTAGAAGGAGTAGGGGAGCGCAGGCCAATTGTGCTAGTCTAGAGTTTCAAAGGAATAATGAAATAAATACTATGGTGCTCTTGTTTTCTCAGGAGTTAGAAAATGAGGCAGTGTTTCCCAAAGGCCACCTCAGAAAAGAAACAGGGCAAGGAGAGGTGTTGAGAAGACTTAAACATGTAAGAAGGTCCAGAGTCTGTGTGTTTTGTTTTGAGGAAAAGTGTCTCTAGTCTTTTATGTCCTAGGAGCAGAAGGCTGCTCTCAGGTGGGTGCTACCCTTGTGATGTACACGGAGGGCCTGCTGTAGCACAGCAGCCAGCCCCGGTAATGATTTAGGGGAGATTAACAAATATGTCAATGTCTATTTTCTGCTTAATTTAAAAGCGGCGTCTATAAAGATTTTTGACTTCTGAACCCTGTTCTCCTGGAAGAAAGAAGGTAAGAATGAGGAGGGGATGAAGAGTGATTATCCTATCATTGATCGTTTGTCAGGAGCATTTCTTATTCACTGGACTATTGTAAAAAGCTAAGCTCACGATCAATCCTGTAAGCTCCCTGTACAATTAAATATCTTGGAATGGTTTTCTTTCTTTTCTAGCCAAATTGCAGGGCCTCAGGGTTTTTAGGAAAGCAAGTGTGAGTGTGTGTGTGAGAGTGTGTATGTGTGTGTGTGTTTAAGAATATGCTCTACAGCCATTCTCTTCTGGAGTCCTGCCTTAGGCAAAGGCTGAAACAGGAGAAAGGTATGCTGCTCCTGTCCCTTCACAAAATCCAAGTTCCCATTAAATCCTAAAACACCAAACCTTATGATTATAGAACCAACATACAAGAGTTAAACACAGATGAGGCATCGCTAGCCTAATCAAGTGTGAAGAGCTAATATCACTGAGAAGCTACGTATGATGCTTCCATTTGCTCTAACACATTAGACCTGAAAGGTCATGACCTCAAAGATGAGACTAAGAGACAAGTAACTTGCTCAATGCTACAGAGCCAGGAAACCAGAGCTGGGGGTTGTGGCCTACAGAGTCTAGCCATAGTCCTGGATCTTTATGTATTCTTTTAGATTCATTTGTTTTATCTGTATTAGTGCTTCATTTTTATGTGTGTGTGCACCACATGTGGACCTGGCACCTACACAGGTCAGATCAGCGCCTACATCAGATCCTCTAGAACTGGAGTTACAAGTGCTGTGAGCTACCATGTGTGTGTGTGGTCTGGTCCTCTGGAAGAGTAACAAGTGATCTAACTAATGTGCTATTTCTTCAGCTATAATTCTGGGACTTTAAAACAGCTTAAACTGATCTACATGTATCCGAAGCCAGCAGCCAGCAGCCATACCTGAAGCCAGGACAAGCAGTACCACCAAGAGGAGCTACTGGCTTCTGCAGCAGCTGTTTAACACAGAAGGTGGCAGGTGAGGGTCAGCCCTACCCTAGGTCCTAGCAGACACAGGGAGGAGTTTTAAAACCAAGAATAATGACCCTCAGAAAGCACACCCCTCGGTCTAAGTGCAGCTTCTCATTTACAACCCTAATCTGAGAAATGGGGATAAAGTTTTATTTAAAAAAAAAAGTAATATTAAAGATTAAATTTTTAAAAATTTTATTTATATTTTATGTATGAGGGTTCTGCATGTATACCTGCAGGGCAGAAAAGGGTGGTGAAATAACACAAGGTTGCTGGAAAATGAACTCAGGACCTCCGAAAGAGCAGTCAGTGCTCTTAACTGCTGAGCCATCTCTCCAGCCCAATATTAAAGTTTTTAAAAACAAAACATTCTTAACTTTCCTTATAAAGGGGCTATAAAAATTTAACCTTTTAACTTTTATTTTAAACCTAAGCTTAATTTTAACTTTTATAGAATCTTCTTCATTCTCTTAAAAAAGAAGTTTGCTTTGATTGGTTAAATATGAGATATACAAGAGATAAGAGCTGGATTACCCTCCCTGCAGGGCTCCTGAACACCACAGATATTAGGTCTTGATACTGAAAAGCCACAATAACTCAATTCTTCTTCAGGATCAAAGGCATAAAAACAAGTAGCAGAAGAACTATGCACTCATGTTTTCTTTGTTGGAAAAAAATTCCTCTATGAAGATAGAAAAAAAAATCATCTAAAGTATCTCCATATTTCCATATCCATAACAGGAGTGCTTTAAAAAGCAAAAAACCAAAAGCCAAAACCCACAAAAACCATTCTTGAGAAACTGTAAGTCAGACCTTGTTTTAAGTGCCCCCAAGGGAGCTATTTAGAATGTACTTTGCAGTGAGCCCTTTGGTAAAGCAAATAATCCTTCTGTAATGGGAATAATTTTTCTCAATGCATCTAGGTTTCCCCTGACCCACAGTCATATCTCTGCTTTTTTTTTTTTCAAAAGGGGCACACCTACCTAAATACAACTGCATATCATTGCATTTTGATTCTAAGTGCGATCTTCTCAGGGGATGTCTGATCCTGAAATTCCTTGCAGTAGTGTGAGTAATCGCTTGTTCATATTTAAATAACCATTATATTAACTCAGACTTCCAAATAAGAATAAAAATCGAATAATTCTCCCTTCAATTCTGCCCCCTTACCTCATACAGACATGGCCACATGAGAAAGTGAGGAAACAGCAGAGAGTTTTCTGAATTCTGGTATAGAGATCTCTCTACAGCCTTTGTTTTTTTCTCTCCCTAATCTGTTCTCCCTAAATCTGACAGGAATCTGGGCCAATTGAGAACAAGTAGGGAAGAGGGCCTTGGACATATTCTGACAATGGTCTTCAGGTAGAGAGAGGCCTGGATTTAATGAACAAAATCCCTGCCAAGTCCTAACTGTGAATCATACCTTTCTGGAGGGAGTGAGTGGGAATGGGGGAGGGGGCACACAGGTGCTTCTGAAATGTAATTAATTGAATTGGATTGGGATCAAACTAAAACAGCTCCCCCATAAATGTCACAGTCTCACTAAATTTCATCAAGCCAAACAGGCTTTGAATTAAAGTGAGGGTAGGTTTTTAGCTACTACCAACTTAAGGTAAGATCTCATTTACTTTCATGACAAAAAAAAAAAAAAAAATTCCTCAGCTTCCTCATCACACAGGACACTCCAAGCACTACAGGGGAGACACCACTTTCAGGGCATATAAACTAGGACATCTTTATTTCCTAGTCTCAACTTCCGAGGCAGATCCTCTTTCTGCCTCAGAAAAGCAATACTGGGTCTTTTTAGTTGATAACAGCTTGAAGGGGTAGGAAAATGCATGATTTGACAGTAACCCTGAATCTCCAGCACCCAAGATAATCCTTTCCAGGTCATTCTTGTTGATAAAGAGGTAGCTCTGGAGAAAGGCATTCTGGAAGTTTCTACATGCATATCTGCAACTGCACAAATCTTCAACTGCACCAGGTACCTCAGGTCATTAGGCATGCTGGGTGCTAGTTAGGCCTGAAGGATCAAGTGAGGGCCAGGAAGGCGCTGAACGTGTCAGCCATCAGGGAGGTTTCATATGGGAAGAACTATGGAGCTACATGGCAGGGTGCCCAGCTGTTTGGGAACAGGGCCCTGACAGAGAACAAGGGTCTCCCTACCTGACTCCTTTGCCCGGGTGCTTGCTGTACTGAAGGAAAGTGACAACAGGAAGCTAATAACCGCTTTGCACTTGGGCTGCATAGTTCTGTCTCCATCTAAATTGATACGTCATTTCACTCTGCATGTAAAGAGGAGGCTCAATAAAGATCTATGGGAGAACCCGGCTCACAGTTCAGCAAAGGCCAGGCTAGCACAGCACTTCTGCTCCCCAGCCATTCCTCTGCTCTGGTTCTGAGAGGCAGCACAGGGATTGACACTGGAAGACTGGGACTCTGTTTCCAGGGAAGGAATTTGATTTCTTTAAGTCCAAAATGATCAGATGTAATCCTACCTTCGATGACTTTAGCAAGGCATGCACTGAGAACACAGGGTCAGAACTGGCTCAGCAATGAGACGTTCTGCTATCTAAACTTAGTTCACTTACTTTTAAGGGCAATTATTTTGCTGTTGTTACTGTAGATCTGCAAACTTCTTACCCAAACCAGCCACAGAAAATGGTTAAAAACTCATTTAAAAAAAATGTAAACTCCTGATTTCAATCATTAGCTCTCTTATGTCATGTATCTATCAAATAAAGAGTTTGAAAGAGATGAAGTTAACTGTTCAGAAATTATTATTCATATCCTTAGAGAATGAACTGTAATTTTGTGCAGTCTCCACCGGTTAGTCTAGGTGCTCTGTGAATGCTCCCCCAGTACAGAGGCTGACTTGGAAGGAGATCAGAAACACAAGATAACAACCACTCCCATAGGCTTTCTCCTAAATCAGATTTCCTCTGTGCAGTTGGTTTTAGCTCACAAAGGGATAGAATCCCTGTTTGATTTAGACCAGGCTCAGTATTCAGCTTAGGGATTGAGAATTCTATTCTGTGCCCTCACGAACATTTATTGTATATTGTGGAAGACTCGTTTAATCTTGCTTTTTTTGCTTCAATTTCCCAATCTGAAAAATAAGGTAATTTTTCACCTACTTTGTAAAAGGTATTTTGGTAGTCTTTTGGTAAGAGATTATAAAAGAAGTCAGAATACAGTGTAAATTCTCCCCACATTGGGTTTCTATTATGTTGTGCATCCAAGCCAATTTGCTATATCACAACTACTTGAGTAGTCTCCGAAAGGCTGCAAATACCTGTAAGTAACATATCAGTGCTTAGACAACTATTTCTAATTTATTTCAAGATACCTTGAGTCAGAGCTTGCTTCATATTTAGCAGACTATAAATTCATTCATTCATTCGTCATCGTCTTTTTTTTTTTTTGAGACAGGGTTTCTCTGAGTAGCCCTACTATCCTGAAATTCTATCTGGAGACCAGGCTGCCCTTGAATTCGGGGATCCACCTTCCTCTGACTCCCAAATGCTGGGCACAGATTCTTTTTTGAATGTCATTGTTTGGTCAAGGTTAACTAAATATGATTTTCTTCAGCATAGATAGGAAATTGATAATGAGATGATTCCTAACAAATGATTAAATGGCCATCATTTGGGAGTCTCCTCCCTCTTCCCTACACATGCTTCTATAGTTAAAGGTGCTTCTGTGAGAAGGAAGCTCTGTCCCCACACCCCTCACCACCCAGTCCTTGTGCACACAGATGTGGAGAGGATCCTCTTACTACCACCCCGTTACTCAAAGGGATGATAACAGCCATTGGGGGGTTAAAAAGAGGCAGTGAACCCCCAGTTAATGAGTAGGAATTCAGCAGGCAGTGCAAGATAAATGGGGCTCTCTCTGCTTCTGCTAGAGTCAGCATGAACTGCGGCCCTGCGGCTTGTTTGTGGCAAATGGAGTGCGCGAAATATCAAAGGGCAGTGATCCAGAAGAAGACCGACTTTGACAAATTTTAAATTGGCCAGAAAGAAAACCAGGGGGAAAAAAAAGGAGGAACAAAAATAAATGAAAGAAAATTAGGCAATTCTTTGTGTCCTACAATTGTGGCATTGCTGCCTTTGTACAGAATTATTGGTAAAACAGCAGCAACGATCACTGGATGCCGGGAGCAATTACGAGCCACCTAAGTGAGATGCTTATCAGTGGCTGAAGCTTTTAGAGCTTAGCTGTGTACAGTTGTAAGTAACTCACTCTTGGGTTGCAGTCATTTTAATTAAAGTGTATGGGGTTGGTCAGAAGTAATTATCCTGTTTGGAAAAGAAAGGGGAGAAAATACCTCAACAAATCTGGCGGCAATAGATTTCAGAACAACTTCTGCCAGTTTCCCTCTGTACGTGTGCTTTCCCTAAGAAGGGTCAGGCTGTGGCTGGGTTAGTTTTTGGTTGCTGTAACCTGACAGCAAACAATGGGGGCACAAACTGATTATTGAAACTCAAGTCACCACTTTTGGCCAGGTTCCACTGCTTAGACATGCAGCCTCAACACTATAGGCACTCAGGAGGGTGTCTGATCCTACATGGTAAAGATAATAGAATCTCCAAATAGTATTTCATTAAACTGTTCCCTGGACCATAAATGAGCTGGCGTCTTTCCGCTCCTCCCATTCACTAGGTTGTACTACTTCTTAAACATAACTTTTCTATTCCTTTAGAAAAACAAAAACACAATAAAACAAAACAAATTATCCTAAGCAATCTTTACTGACATAGCAAGTGGCTCAATGGAAGAAAACCAGTGTTTTAAAAGTATCTAAAAGTCATTATAGGGCTCCTACAGTTTAGTCTTCTTCCAAGAGCTCTGAAAACACACGAGCAACAGAGAACTGGCTAGATGCACGCTGTGCACATGCTCCAAGGGCACGACTGCTGCAGTCACTATATCGAGGCATACAGTGCACAACCTTTACTTCCATTTTCTGTAGCTCAGGCTGACCCCAGAACACTGTCTGGGTAGAAACTAGCTTTTCTATAATGTGACACTGACTCATAACACCCAGAAATGAGACAGGCTGTCCAGAGACTACAGAAATAAGAAATATTTAAGTTGCAGATATTCTTCACCTGATTAGCCTGCCTCCCAAAGCAACCTCTAGCTAATGATACTCTACAAGAACATCCCATTAAGTGGGTTATTTGCACTTTAAGGAAATATCAGGAGAAAAATCATGTGACTTTTCTTTTTCAGTAATCTACCTTCCCTCCTATGACACTATTTCATTCTACCAGGGTTCTTACCACATAGAGGATAGTAAATAAAGATCATCATGAATTTGATCAAATGCTTCAGTGCCTCCTTCCCCTGACCTATGAATGCACTCATTACAAATCAGCTGAATGGCTCATTGATTTGCCAGGAGAACAAGCAGACGTACCCAATCGCTCAGCCAAGTGGATGTAGACTGGATCTACCCGACGCATGGTTTTCACCAAATCCTTTTTGCGGAATTTGATTTCTACTGTCCCTTCTGGTTCCAGAACAGATCCCCTGGATGCAAAAAAGAAAATAAAGCAGAGGACACAGAATGAAATCAGTTATAATTTGTGGACCAGGAAATAGCTTCATTAATGTTTTAGCCACCCATGGTTCTCAGAAGTTACCCCTGGGAAAAAAGGCAGACACCTAAGATGTATCTAAGTGAGGCATGAGAAAGGTCTAACATAAAGCAATGTAAACAATTCTCATTATCCCACCGTAGATCTCCATCTCAAGGAGAGAATACAGATTCCACCACTGACAGCTGATGAAGGTGACAGGCATCACATTTTTGTTTTTCAGGAAAGCAAACAAAACAAAAATCCCAAAAGGTAGGCCCCTAGCAGAGGAACTACCTCCAGTTCTTGGGCTGTACTTATATGTGTAGGGTGGGGGTACTGTTGATGACTGTCCTGTACCACAGCTGTTAATCTGCTCCTGAAACCAGACACACTAGGCCAGGCTGCTGAGAGGCAATAGGTCTTTCTCTCTCTTTCTGTTGTTTTTTAGTTTCTCTGTGTAACAGTCCTGGCTATTGTGGAACTCTCTTTGTAGACCAGGCTGTCCTTGAACTCACTGAGATCTGCCTGCCTCTGCCTCCCAAATGCTAGAATTAAAGGTGTATGCCACCACTGCCCAGCTAGATAAAAATTTCTTAATGTACTTAAAAAAATTGTTTAGGGCAGGGTTTCTGGTATTAGAGTATCATTAATATTCACTGTAAGAAACTTCGAGGCCTTCACTTTGCTAACTTCAATAGCACCAGACAGGATGCTTTATCTACTTCTCTGATCTAGTATCAGGGAATAGCTTAGGACTTAAAAATAATAAACTTGTAGGTGTAGAATATCAGCTTAGGGATTCAATGGTGAAACTATTGCATATTCCCAAGCAGCCTTTGAAGTAGAAGGCTAAGATTTGAGGAGAAAGAAAGAAGTAGGTGTTCCAAATAAAATGATGACATGCAGTTAAAGTACACAGACAATGATGCTGATGTTCGTCGGAAAGGATCATGAACACATTATGAGAGGGTGCTGGGCTTGATGTGTCTTATTTAGTTTCAAGAACTTCCTTCTTACAGATGTGGGCTTCTCTGTAGTTTTTTGAGGGTTTGTAAACCAGAGTTCTTTAGCCATCTTAGAATACCAGAGTAAAGCCTTGGGCTCCAAGAGAAGGGAGCAGCTTTGATTTGGAGTCAGTATGTGGGTTCTGTGGTGTATATCAATAACTACTGAGCTCATTAACAGGAGACACAGTTCCAGAAGAGCAAAGGCCACTCCAAATTTACCTACAATTAGTGGATTAAAACCTAGAACTGGGCTAGAGAGATAGTTCAGTGGTTAAAAGTGCTTGCTGTTCTTCCTGAGGACCTGCTGTTCTTCCTGAGGACCTGTATTTGATTCTTAGCACTCATGATGGCTTTTACAACTGTCTAAGTCCAGCTCCAGGGATCTGACACCCTTTTCTGACCTGTATAGACAGACCCTACACCTGACATACATTCACACAGACACTTGCACATATGCGTAAATAAAAACAAATCTTATACACACACACACACATTAACAAAAACAACCCCTAGAAGTCCTGATTACATTTGAGTTTTTCATTCCTTTAATCTTCCTCTGCTCCAAAAAGAGATGGTTAAGAGTCATATCCAAACAGGAAGGGAGAATCTGAGTTTGGAAGGGCCTGGGAAAGAGAACTTTGTTATAAAATGATGTGGGATGGAGACTGGGATAAGAAAACCTGACTCCAGCCTGGTTTCCTTCTCATGCAAGCAGACATTATTTAGATAGCCTATTTTTTTTCTCACCTTAGAGTCCTTTGGGAATGGAAAGATTCAAATGAAATTGTCTTGGCTATAATTTTCCCTAGGGGTAGGAAGACCAAAAGCTAGAGGGTCCCCAGAGGCATTGAATGCAATAAAGAAGGCATAATACCTGCTTTCTCGGTCAGCATACATCTCCATGTGCCGAGGGTTGATGGTAGGGTCAATCACAACCCAAGAACCACCCCGCAGCTCAGCTTGGGGAGGAATGTAAACCATAACAGGCTGGGAACATTCTCGCAAACCATCCACAATGTAAGCGCCAAACTTGAGCACTTGGTCATACATATCTATGGAGAACAAGACAAATGAGAAATAATCAAACTTCTCTTCAAAGCATATACAGAAAACAGACTATGATGGCACATTGTATCTCCATGGGAGAAGTGACAGGACAGAGTTCCAGCTACCAGGAGTCCTATGACAATCCCAAAGGCAACAGAGATTGGTGCATCTGCCTGTACCCCACTCAAGACTTCAGAGGAGCTTCAAAAAGCACAAGACAGAAATTCAGTCATTCATAAGATACAGTATGCAAAGCCCACGATTAAATATCCATTTTATACCCTCCTTGCATTTCGGTATTCAGGTTTCACCACATTAATTCATACTTGCTCTACAAACGTTACATATTTTTCATGTCAATATGTGATCTCTCTCACTACATTAAGTTTTCTGAAGGAAGGAACTATTCTAGCTTTTTTCAATTCCTTTCACGATTCTTAGAGTACAATGAGTTCTTAAAGTATGCAGCTAAAAAAATATGCAGCTAATGGCAATGGATCCTGAAAAAAATTTGTCCTTAAAAGCTGGAGCCAGGGGTGTTAGGGTACACCTATAATCCCTGTTCTTGGGAGGCCAAGGCAGAAGAATTGTGAGTTGTAAGGCCAGCCTGGACCACAGGATAAGTTCCAGTTCAGTCTGAGCAACTTAGTGAAGTGAAACCTTGCTTCAAAAATAAGATAAAAACTGGACTTTTCATCCCTGTATACACAAAAGACCTACCCAGTACTGAAACATACTCAGTGCTTAGAGTCAGTACTGAATGAGTGAATAAGCACACATACTTTTGAAAGAACATAAAAAATTATTTAGTAATTGTATTTTTATAGGATAATAATGAGTAGGAAATTACATATGCACACTCACATATGAAATCTCACATGGCCACATGAAGAGCCAACCTTTCCATTCTGTTCGAGAATACTCAGTAGTCCCCCAAAGGCCAGGACCAGCTTACAAAGACCCCTGGTGCATAAATGAGCGAGTCCTTGGGATCAGTCCTTTATTTCCCAGTGTTTTATGGGCTGCTTCCCATTTCCCTGCCCCCTAAAGTTTAAACATTGCTAGTGTCAAGGCTCTGGTCCCAGGCATTTAATGAGTACTTCAGTGGAGCCACAAAGGATCCTTCCCAAACAATAAAGACAGGTTCAACCAGGCTCCACGTTTCCTATCCAGACAGGACTTCAATTCGGAATAAATCAATTCTGAAAACCAAGGCAAAGAAGCATTTTTCAGGAAGTTAAGAGCAAACCAAATAGAAACTTCCTTTGTAGTTACGAGCAAATTAAATTGCTACTTTCTCCAGAGTAAAAATGGCTCTGTATTCAGAACACCAGTGAGCACAGCTTAGTTTGAGGAATAGGCCTTTGGCCATTGCTCTAGCCTGGCTTATCTGTAAGGACTCAGGAATTCCAAGTTTCTCCTAGTCTGTGTGGAGCATGTATGGTCATATACTCTGTATATATGGTCAGAGTGAAGACATTTATTTCTTTGGGTGGAAAGCAAAGACCAAAAAATTTACTGCTAATTGCACAACTGCTGTATGAAGAACAGGAATAAAGGACTTTAAGCGCTTTACACTAATTCTGTGCTTATGAAAATAATTGCTCAGCTCAAATTATTTTAACTAAATTAATTCTTTAGTGGATATTTCAACCAATGCTACATAATAAAATAATTGTGTAATTAGCAGTACAGTTTTCAGCATTGCCAAGAGAACAGTTTCAGAACAAGTAGCAGAAAGGAGCGGCCCTCTTGGTATATGCACTGAAGAGAAAAGGAAAATGTAGATAAAAGATGAAAACAAACAGAAGATAGAAAATAAGTCATTTGACTTGAAAATGATATTACAGGTAAATGAAGACAGTCTCCAGCCACTTTCCTCATTTTTGTTAAAAGTGAATTTATATGAAAATCTATCTGGTTAACAGAGCTACTCTCCAAAGAGCATTCATTTAATACTAAAAAGACACCACATAACTTCACACTATATAGAATTAAGATAAATAAACAACATTAATAATCAGAATATTATCTTTTTCCTATATCCATGTTATAGCTAGTAAAAGGAAGTTTAGTTAAGTAAGACTAAATGGCAGAGATGACATTCAAATGCAGTTTTCCTTTTGAGAGATGGTTTCACCATGTAGCTAGGCTGGCCTTGACCTTACGATTCTCCTGTCTTTGCCTCCTGATTGCTGAGACTGCAAGTATGCATTTCCATGTCCAGCTTCAAACGTACATCTTACAACTTTAAATTACCATTCTACTGCCTCACTTTACTCATTCTTACTGCTAGGAGAGAGGGTGAAGCTTGAGAGGGATCTGTAACATCTAATGGCTGACTTCACTAAACCAGAAGACACTTGAGTGATTGAACCTATCTAACTCTGGCCTGGATTTCCTTTATGTTCAGAGATGTCAGGAACTGTACTGATGGAACTAGCAGTTATGTGAAGGATCTGACTGCCAAACAAATACCTTTAGGTACTAAAACTGATGTAGAAAAGGGACTTTAGGCTTCTTTAAAGCTGCCATGCCTAGAGCTAAAATAACACTTTCATGTCCTCTAAATACCATCTCCCCTGGAACACCAACAGACCCATAATGCAATTGCCACAGCGTCTTCAAACAGGCTATTCAATATAAACACAAAGCAAGTTCTACAATTAATATGCTAATACTGAATTACAAGTTTCCCCAAACCAGGCATTTTCAAACAATGATCTGACATACAAATGTCTGAAATGCCTTCATATTTAAAAACCAGAGTAAAAACTTAGCTAAGAATATGGGGGGCGGGTAGATCTCCAAGGGTTTATGCTGACTGGAGTCAGTTCAGAGAAATTTAAAGTCATGTATGTGCTTGCCATTTCTGGTGCCTGAGAAATGCAACTGGACTGGAAATGGAAATATTGATCCATTCTTGATTGGAGAGGAAGGAACTTTCTAGCATCCTGGGAAAGTACATCTGCATGAATGGTGATCACACCCAGCACCCAGGTATCATTTCTGCCTGGGGCCTTCATTGTTACACAACATGGATAAATTGTGGCAGTCACAGGCACCAAACAAGGGAGGGGGTATGGAAGTATTTTCATAGTGCCCCATACTCGCAAACTGGAAGGGATCTTATTGGCTTAGGCAAGATTATATTAGGCAGTGAGGTAAACATTAGGCATACACAAGCTGCATACATGTAATGTCTCTCATGAGTTCATTATGGCTGGCGGACATTGTATTTCAACATCCAAGTAATGAGAGACTTTAAAATAGACTTTCATTCCAGTTAAAGTTTTCAATAAATATGGTTTTTTATTGTTATTTATAACCTGTCCTAGGAAAAAATAGTATAACACAAAAAGCCAACTGAGAGTGACCCTGTAGCACCAGCAGTGAGGCGGCTTAATATCACTGGGATTTGCATCCTATCAAGCTATTCACACTGAGGCTGGGACCCTGGTGCTAATTTCTAGTAAATTTCACGCTTGATGTCTCCCTGTTGTGGGTCATTGCCGGTTCGTCTAAATAAACTGCTTCCAAATGGTTCTTCCATCTAAATATTCAGCCAGTTTTTATAATTTAATTTTGCATTATGCTGAATAGCCTTCCGGCCAGATAGAACTCATTGGAAAAAAAGCACCAATACCATCTTGACAAGCTTTTATTTATTTATTTATATATTTTACTGCTCGAATTAGACCTCCTAGGCCGACTAGTAAAGAGTTTTTTTTCCCCTCTCCACTAATGTCAATTTTCAGCATAGCAAGAACTGTCTCTAATCTTTTCCTACTCATTACACACAATTTTGGAGTCATTTTACCCACAGTGCAGTCGGCTCCTGGCTGTGTGTTTGTGTGCACTGAGGGATGGCATAATTGTTTATTTTCCCTCCCTGCATAATCCCCAGCCAGTATTGAAACCAAAACTGCAAACATCTCCCCAAGGGATGTGAAGAATGACAAGAGGCTCTTAGTTTAGGTCCCTTTACATGAGATAATATGTGGGAAACAGCCAGACCTGTATGTACACAGGAGAGCTTGTTCTTTCCCTTCTTGATTTCACACAGAGCTCGATCTCCCCTAAAGTCTATCTGTCTTATATGATGTGTAAATGGATGCATCACACCAAAATTAAGAAGAAATAACCTTGCTCTGGACTATATTAGGCCAATAACTAATTTCCAACCAGGGACAGGAAGGAGGGGATGGCAGTTATTATTTAATGAGTAGGGTTTAAGGTGAAGATGTTAAGTTTGGGACAGAAGTAACACTAATTGTTAAACAGCACTACCAATAAACTGTACACTTAGAAATCATTAAGATGAGGATTATGTGTATTTCACCACAATTAAAAATAACTTTTTTGAGACAAGAAGTTACTATACAGAGCAAACTAATTTTGAATTTGCTGTAACGTTGACAGAACAAACAAAAACCAAAAATCATTTCTGAACTCTAGCTATTTCTTCCTGCAATAACTGCAGACATTTCCAAAGGAGGGGAAAATAGACAAGTGATAACTTTCTCAAGATACCCAGGGATGTTCCAAGTTGATTCATTTTGTTCCTGGACTCTGGTCAGGAGAGAGAGAGAGAAAGAGAGAGAGAGAGAGAGATTGGCAGGCAGGATGGTTCAGTGGGTAAAGGCACTCAGGGAGCAAATCTGGCCAACAGAGTTGGATCCTGAACTCATGGAAAGGACAGAATTGACTCCATGTGTGCTTATATGTATATGCATTTTACACACACACTTAAAAAGAGAGATGGATCTACATTTTCCTATCAATTCTGTCATTTTTTAAGCTTGTCACTTAAAGAGATTTACTTACCCCAAGCCTCAACTCATGTAAACTGCAGACAACAGTTTGACATGTCTCTTAGAAGTGGTGTGTGTTATGATTACAGGAAGCGACATGAAAGCAGTTAATATAGCTTCTAATGCAAGATTCATTAACCCTTCCACACCATACTGAGAACTTGCTATGTAACCCAGAATGGCCTCAAACTCATGTCAATCCTCCTGCCTCAGCCTCCCAAATGCCTTCAATGAATCTTAATTTTGTTATTAATGTTTCAGGGCTTAGCCACCAGTAAGGGACTGATGCCAAAACAGGAGCAGAGTTGAAGCTTTTAGTAGAAGTGACAACTCTGACCTCTAGATAAGGTAGGACAGACAAGTGACTCCCTGTCAGTGTGTCAACGAGAGTGTATTCTTAGAGCTCTGCAGTGAAGTCACTAAGGAACAAAATCACTGAATTCTCAGGTCTCAGCATAAAATATACTGCAAGGGAAGTGGGACCAAGTGAAACTGAATGCTAACTGGATCTCACATGTATGAATGGAAAGAGTGCTAACACCCCCCCATCCCAGCATTCACGTGGTATCCTCTCTTGAATACCCTGGTATTTTGCTTATATATTACAGCTTTATCATGCTACCCAAAGAAATGTTTTTCTTGACTCATTGAAGCAATAACTGTTTCTGAGTTTCTTCCTTTCTTCAGAGACAGCTAATAAAGTAGGAATTCAGTAAAAGTGTGTAGGGTTGCCCTGATTAAACAATACATTCCTTTTCTCATGGTATTTTCTTTTCTTTTTTCTTTTTTTTTTTTTTTTTTTTATTTTTTCGAGACAGGGTTTCTCTGTGGCTTTGGAGCCTGTCCTGGAACTAGCTCTGTAGACCAGGCTGGTCTCGAACTCACAGAGATCTGCCTGCCTCTGCCTCCCGAGTGCTGGAATTAAAGGCATGTGCCACCATCGCCCGGCTCTCATGGTATTTTCATAGATGATTCACCTTTATATTTTAAAAAAAAGTACACAAGAGGCTGGTACTTTACTTGATTCAGTATCTTATCAGGGGCTTGCTATCACATCTTAACAACTTGAGCTGGAATTCTAGGACCTGTACAATGAGAGAAGAGAACCAATTCCCACAAGTTGTCCTCCGATCCACCCTCCCCACAACCAAATATAATAAAAAAATTAAAGTACATAAGTGGGGCTGGAGGGATTGCTCAATGGTTAGAGCATTATTTCTCTTGCATTGAACCTAGGTTTAGTTCCCAGAACCCACATCTTGGCTCACACACATTTCTAACTACAGTTTGAGGTGATCTGACATCCTTTTCTGGCCTCCACAGGTACCAGGCATACGTGTGGTGTACATAAGTATAAAATAGGCAAAACACCTGGACACATTAAAAAATCCTTTTAAAAAGCATAAGCATTAAACTGTATGTGTAGTCAAAGCCTTCTCCAGGCAAAGGGGTATTTCATTAGTAAATATGGGTTTTTTGACGAATGCAAAAAACAGTAATAACAGCTTTTCATTTTCTCAATGAGGCCTGGCAAGCGTATGTCATAGGTAAAAATTATGACTATCTCTCACACATAGCTAGTAACCTACAAGGGAGAGCTCTCTCAGGCTATTCCTCTCTCAGAAAGTTGGGGCGCTCCTGCTCACAGCTTGTGCAGGCTCTCTATGGAGAGCTCATTACTTCACACTTCTTCACTCTCAGCAATCTCAATCACTCCAGCAGGTCAGCTCCTTCCATTTCCCCAGCCCATCTATTCCTTTAGAATCCCGAGGTGAATGAAGAATGCACCCACCCACATAGTCTTGCAGCCTGTGGGTGCAGATGCTGGCCTTTGCACAGCTGTGGGTGTCTGTCCTTATAAGAGGCAATCCTTCTTGTCTCTCTCTGGACTGTCCACAGTGTAGCTGTTCATGGAGGGTTCTTATTTAATGATGACACTGGCTGCCTAATCACTAAGAAATTCCCATGGCATGGACTAGAGCCTTCATACTAATGGTCTAATCTGTTGGAGCCACAGGCCTAGGGCTGTTGGTGGATAATAATAAAACATACTAAAAATTGCCACAAAGAACGGCCAGTCTCTGGTACAGACTTTCTTCATTTTTTCCAGTTACTGCTAATTTCTCAACACATCTTGGTCACTGGAGCCTGTCAGAGGGTGATGTGAATGAAGAACATATGCAGAGAAGAGGGTGGGAACCAGTGAAACACTATTTCCCAGGACCACCAGAGTAGTCTAACATCTACCTATGAAAGCCAAATCTTCAACAGTAGCCTACCTACACAATACTAGACTATTCTGGATTTTTTTTTTTGTAAGATTAGAAGACATTATCTGTTTTTGGCAGGTGGAGGAAAGGGGGATATTTGAGACAGGGTTTCTCTGTATAGTTCAGGCTGTCCTAGAACTTGATCTGTAGATCAGGATGGTCTCGAATTCACCAAGCTCAGCTTAGATGACATATTTTATTGTTCCAGTATCTCAAAGGGAGCTGCCAAGTCACAGGTGACAAGTTGTTAGCACACCCACAGGATCTCTATTACTTATACTCTGCCAACAACCTTTTCCAACACCCTCCTAGTTTCTGCCTAGCGATCACTGATACCCCCTGGAGCCCAGGGCAGACCAGCCACTTTCTTCCCAGCCCATTAGTCACCTTTCATCCCACCAGAGAAGCCTCTCCAGTTGGCAAAGACCATTAGAGGTAGCCCTTCACGGTTGAAGTCCTTGATAGCCTGATAGGTCTTAAATGCAGAGTCTGGGAACCAAACCTGGCCAGCCTGCTGGATTATCTGTTAAGGAGAAAGTCAAAAAAGAGCCAGTTAACAACAGTTTGAAGGAGAACCTCCCCCAGCTGATCAATATGACGTTTATTAAAAATAGTAAACTCAAGATCAAACCAAGACTGTTGTTCATCATGAGGATGATCCTTGAAGTGAAAAGAAAGGATCCTGGCTCCCTAACCCTGTTAAACACTCTTCTCTTGGGAGCCTGACTATACATTAGTCCTTAGACAAAAGGAGGAGTTGAACTGCTTCTCCCAATCAGTAATAGGAACCCTTTTCAGAGGCAACTCAATTATATTACTTTTTCTTTCTATTCTTTTATGTATGTATTTACATGCGGGTGAACATGTGCGTACCTATGTGTGCATGTATGCGAAGGCTAGGAATCAACAGTGGATGTCATTCTCAGGTCCCATCTACTTTGATTTTTTGAGACAGGGTCACTCACTGACTTAAATTTACTTAAGTAGGTGAGGCTGGCTGGTCAGTAAGCCCCAGGAATTCCCCTGTCTTTGCCTCCCCAGTGTTGGGATTACAGGCATGTGCCATCACATATAATCTGTTTTTGTTTTGTTTTGCTTTTCTGAGACAGGGTTTTTCTATATAGCTTTGGAACCTGTCCTGAAATTCGCTCTGTAGACCAGGCTGGCCTCAAACTCACAGAGACCCATCTGCCTCTGCCTTCCTAGAGCTGGTCTTAAAGGCATGCACCACCACCACCCAACTGGAATCCTTCTTTAAGAAAAATAAAAGATGGGGGCTGTTGCTTCCACATCTGGCCTTCTGGAGACTGTGCTATCACTCCTAGGTGATTAGGTGTAATTCAGAAGCTGGACCAGATGAGCACCAGTGCTCACTGCCTCTGCTAGGCTAGCGCCCCAACAAAAGCAGACTGCTTTCTAGCATCACTAAGACCACTACAGAGGCCTATTTAACTTTTCACATAAAACTTCTCCTTGCAGTGATCCAGAGGCATCTTGAAAGTGATCACAGTGTTCTGCAATAATTTAAGCTAGCTGCCACCCTTCCCTCTAAAATCTGATGGCTTGCAATACTCTCAATATATCTGTGGACACTGTAGTACAAAGGTACTCCAAGCACAGCACAAGATGTATTTGAGGTGACCAACCTTGGCTTCAGAATCCAGGTTTGCAGGATCAGCTGGAATACTGAGTTCCACGGTTCGGGTTTCCACCGCAACTACTCCCACAGGTATTCCCCCTAACCTGGGGGTGAGGGGGGAGAAACAAGCCACACCGGAACATAATGCATGTTACTATTATAATTAGGCATTTATTTTTATTCATACACAAACATTGAGGGAAAATTGGAAGCAGACAGTAGGGGTGAGTTTGAAGCTTCTAGGGGTTAAATGTGAGACTTCTGAGGGTTGGTATTTATTTCACAAATATGAAGGAAAAGTCCCTTCACACTCACTCACATTCTAAAATGCCCAACAGGACAAATTCAAACTGAGCCTCAACAGCCTAGTACAATGTCTGCTTCTGTGGTTGCGAAATCAATCTTCCCAGTTTGCTGTTAATCAGCTCTTTGATGGTGGGACAAAGCCTGAAACTGCTGGTCTTATGGGATAGAGCTATGGTAGTTAAACAAACCACTGCCCTTCCTTCAGTGGAAAACAAAACAGAGACAGAAATATTTAGTAATAATCTTGATGAATTCTATATCAGAATCAGATACTTAATTTGAAAGCTATATTAAGATTCAGAAGTTTGAAGCTTCTGCCTATATATTCAGTAATAATCTCCCATATTGGTCCTCATTAGGATTTCCTAGAACTAATCAGAGATGAAGGGAAGAAGGACGAGAAACCAAGAGGGCGATGCCAAGTGTAAGGTGAATCCTTTATTCTGGAAAATGTGACTCCATCTTCATTCTGCCAGTTGATTTCCTCTGGGCTGGGGCTGGGCTGAGTTATACTCTCATTCCCTACAATGTGTCTGTAACAAACTTTTCCATGAAGGATGGTCTTTAGCTATTACATCAACTACTGGAAATGGATTCTTTCCATCACAAGAGATCTAACTGGAGCTGAGTGGAGACCACCCACCACCCTCTTGTCACTTGCCTGCACTGAATCAGAATCAAAAGCTCTCTAGACAACCAGACAATGAGCAGGAGGTACACAGGAGGGTTCAGAAATATTTCTGTTCACAATGATTAACACTCCAACAAGAAACTTGTAATTGCAAAAGCCACCCTAAATCGGTAACTTATAACTTATATATTAGGGCCCATGTGACCTAATAAAGAACATCTTTATCCGAGTATTACAGTTATTTATTGAAGTTGAAAACAGCTCAGAACAACTTCTGTTTTCTATTATACTTCATATAAATTTTATCAGGCTAGCACATGAAGATGCTACATCTTGTTTTATAGTGTGTCCCTGGACAAGGTGCCATGGAATAATAAAAGACAATTTACAGCCAATAGCACACATATTCCAAACATACATACCAAAGATGAGTTTTGGCAGCACTTACAGTAACAATCCCAGAAGAATACATTTATATTTATTTCTTGAAATGCCACTGCCTTTGAAAGAAGCTAGCTCCATTTGTTTTATATACTTCTGAGCATGTGTATGTGTTTGGAGTAAGAAGCCCAGAACTCATCAGATGGAAAGAAAGGAAAAAGTCAGAGTGAGTGTTGTAATAAACAATACCTGAGCTAACCAAAGTCAAGCTTGACTGGTCTTGGTTGCAGAGTAATCCCTATTCTAATCTTAAGGGTAAAACATTGTTCTCTCATATCCCACAGGAAGATCTTAACGACTCTAGCAAAAAGTTTGACTTTGGAAAGCTTAAAGACTATCATGCATTTTATATACAGGAAAAAATGAAACAGAATAAACAAAAACGTTGATTCTCATATAACATGAGACCCTGTAACTAGCTGTATGTCCCCCTTCCACTTCCTCAGCAGGAATTTTACCAACACAAAGTAATTCTCATAGGGATGCTATAGCTACGGGTGAGAGAAAGGACCTGACACTTGAAAGAAAATGAGCAGCTAGTTTCCCAGTTCCTGTCTCAGATGACTCCTATTCAGTGTCACAATGGAAGGCCCTGTCTGTGGGATTTGCCATCTGATGGCTCCTTGTCACTGGCTGCATGAAGCATGCTGACCTGATGTACTGAGAGAACCACAAAGCCTAGAATTATTTTCAAGGCTAGCATCTAAATCTCAAGCCAATGTGGCATGTTGGAGAATCTTGAGCAGGTGCCTCTTTTCACCAAGATAAGAAAAACTGATTGCCCCCTGGAGGAAGGTGAGCTCCTGATGCAGGTCTCTCAGGCAGCAGGTCTCTCAGGCAGCGTGTCTGCAGCACAGACCTAGATTAAGATCAGCCTTGGCAGGTGCTCGTTAAAGCAAGCACGACAGATTATTTTGCACAGAGCTTGCTGTTGAGTGAAACACTTCTTAGAGTGGGTATTAAAATTTAATAAAAACTTCAATTTCCCACTTGAAAAATATGGGTATCCAAGCAACCTATGCCAGCTTATTTTACTCACTCCTGTTTCAGATTAAAAATTTTTTTCAACTCAAATCTGATTCTAGTCTAATACAATGCAATATTATAAGTCACTTCAGTAGTCATGATGTCAGAAAGAGACTCCTCTCAGGGTACAGGAAAAATCATGTGGTGTCTGCTCTTGAGAGAAAGCGGTCTTGTGAGGGGGTGCTTGATTGGTGATGGCTATTGTAGTGCAGCTTTGTGGGTCCCAAAGAGTTTCTCTTGCAGAAGTATAAAAAGGAAATACTGTCAAAATCAGCCTTCAGATTAAGTACATCATTAGAATGACACACTGGACAGCTACAGGGACCAGCAAACTACCTTGGCTATGTCTACCATCTAATACTTAGAAAACCCAGACAATGTTTCACTGGTAAACACTAAGACCATTCCTTCCCTAATTTTACTTGGGAAGAAAAAGTTTTCAGAACAAAAGAGGTCTTACCTGGCTCTACCAACCACCACAGTCTGTGCCCAAGGTTGCATAATCTCTGAGAAAGATCCATAGTCAAAAAATCCACTCAACCATTGGCCTTTCTGGGCTGTGAAGGAAAAGGAAAAGGGAAGGAAACAAAGAGCATGAATACAGTCTACCTGTTGACATCGCACTGGGACGATGAGTTTAAGGTGGGATTTAGGAACTTATTTTGAGGAGTTTGTTGTTTCTAACCATATTATAACAGAGGGAAGCATTAAACAACTGAGTGTTCATCTGCCTTCAGAAATCATTCTCTATTTCATTTGCTAGTCTGCATGTCATTTATCAGCAAAAGCATCATTTATTGTTAAACGATGGGGTTCAGCTAGCAGAGAGTTTGTGTGCTTTTAAATAAATAGCTTGGCTTTTTTCAAGACACCACAAACATTTGTCAAGAGGCAGCCAAGTCATTAAAGATGTTTTTAAAATGCTTATTTCTATTTTAGAACTTGCCTGACAATTTTGTTTGATTCCACTGATTTTCTTTTAATGGGAAGATGAAAACATAAGTATTAATGATCAGATGAAGACTCAAACTTGAAGGTAAATAAGAGATTCAGTCTCTCTGCCAGAAATACAACAATAAAGACTCACTTTATTTATGGTTGGCAAAGCATAATCTTTCTACATGAAGGGCCATGACTATATGCCCTCGACAGAACAGAAACATAATGGTTAAGATATATGTACACTTAAAAAAAAGATACACACACTTAATAACATCACTTCCCTTCTTCATCCAGCTCCATATACTGGCAAGGCATGTAACTTTCACTACCTTAGTTTAAGATAAAACTTGTCTCACAGGCTCATGAATGTTTGACCAAGAGCCCATAAAGGCCTCTGCAAATAACTGTTTTCTCATTTGCCCTCTCAGCTCACAGTTTCTCAGTGATTCTTCTAATTTGAACATGGCCCTCCACCCCCAAAACCTCAAGTCCAAAACCAATTAAAAGTGGAGATCTGAGCAAGCTAACCTCTGCTGACTTAAACAGGACGGAGAGTGTTTTATCAAGACTAAACTTGTAATTACTGTGTTCTACATTCCTTGCCTCTATGGCCCCAGTGTAAAATGTGATCATCCATTTCAAAATTATCTCCCTATCGTGAGCCCAAAGTCGATCGTTTAGATTCTGGTCTCGTGTTGGGCGTCAGTTTGAAGAATATCACAGCACTATCTCCTCTAATAAATGACTTTAACTTTTCACCTAGAAGATATCTGCTTTAACTTATCATAGGGAATCATCTGCTTTCTTTAACGCTTCCACTAAATTAAAATCTGAAGTCACTCGATTTGGGAGCGAGTGTTAGCTGCACCTAGACAGCAGGATGAATTACTAGAGAGTCAATGAAAATATATTATCCAAAACACTAGAAAACTTAGCTTATCACAAATTTCATTTTATTCTGTGGGTCTTATTAATAATGACCCAGATAATGCCCATCTCCACATGTACTTCTGTTTACCTTATGAAACAAAGGTGTTTTGCTTTTTGAGACAATCATATACAGGCTAGACTTGAACTTGCAATCCTCCTGCTTCGTCCTCTTAAGTGCTGAATTAAATGCATATACCATTATGCTTTGCAAAGGGCCCAAATTCTGGTGAAGGTTCTAAACCAGACTGGTTCTAGTTTCATCAAGACACTGAAATTTTAACTTTATATGTCTGGGTCATTTTATGATATTTACTTTGATAATAATGATTTGGAACTACAGAATTAATTTCAAAATCAGAACATTTACTTGTTTCAAAACCCTGAGTTGCAGGTAAGAAGGATAGCTAAGTGTTACAATTCTTGTCTGGTATGCCTAAGACTCCAGGTTCAGTCTCCAGTACCCCCACAGCAAAACTGCCCTGTCTTACATGGTGATTAAGGAGGAAGGGACCGTTGGTTATGCTAGCTGGACTTGATGGTCCTACAAGGAATGTCACTCACTCTAGCTCAGGGTATACCTAGATGTCACTGAGGTGCTCCCCTATATTTCCCAGGAGAATACCCACTGAGCTTTCCTCTGAATTTAGATAAGACTCACTTAATTCCCAGAAAAGTCCTCGGTTTTTAAGGCCAATCACTATCAGACTTATGGTTCTTACCCACATCATGTATAAAAATGAGAAAAGATGACTTTGGTGATTTTTCTATGTAAGAAAAAGCAATTTTAATAAGGTTAATAAGAGAAGACATAGAAAAAAGAGTTATGGCTATAAATTAAAGTGTGGTTATAAATTAAAACTAACAGAATTCTCTTAATTTTTCTAGAATATCTACAATTAGAAATCAAGATGAAGCCCCAGCATTAAAATAGTAGCAGTGGGATCTTGCAAAAATAAGATGTATATATGGAAGTGCTTTTACATCAGACTCTATCTTGAGTGGTCTCTACTATATCTTCTTTATAAATAAGGAAGACTTATTTCAGCAGAATCACAATTATCCTTAAATTTAACAAACTTTTAAACAGTTTTTAAATTTTTTTACTTTATATGTATGGGTGTTTTACCTGAGTGTATGTCTGTGCACCAGTGAGTGCATGCTTGGTACCCAAAGGAGGACAGAACAGGGTGTCTGATTCCCTTGGATCTGGAGTTACAGGAGGTTTGAACCACCATGTGGGTGCTGGAGATTGAACCTCTGGAAGAGGAGCCAGTGCTCTTAACTGCTAAACCATCTCTCCAACCCCCTACAATTAATTTTTTATTTTAATATGTATTTTACCCACATGTGTGTCTGTATGCCAGGTGTGTATCTGGTGCCCAGGGAGGCCAGAAAAGCATGCTGATTCCCCTGCAATGGGGGTTACAGATGGTTGTGGGCTGCCACGTGGTTTCTGGGAATTGAACCCATGTCTGGAGAAGCAGCCGGTGATCTTAACTGCTGAACAATCTCTCCAACCCCTGCAACCCATTCTTTTATGTATAGTATTTTAAAAATAAATAGTAACAATAAACACATGACAAAGGACAAACACTTCCTAACACAATTTGGTCAAAATAGGGGTCAGGTATGGGGGTGGTTCATGCCTGGAATCTTAGCAGTTGGCAGACTCAAGCAAAAGATTTGAATAAAAGCCAACTTGGGTTCCATAGCAAGTTCCAGGCCAACTGGGGCTACAAACTGAAACCTTATCTCCAAAAAAAAAAAAAAAAAAAAAAAGTAAAACAGGCCACTTGGGGTTTTACAAAAGGAGATTTTCTACAACTGCCAAGTGGATTGATATAAATTTAGATACATAGAGATATTAATTTTTTCTGCAGTGTGCATGTGTGTATGTATAGGTATGTAGTGTTTTGTGGCATGTGAGGAAAAGAGGACACCTTAGATGTCATCATCACTCAGGTGCCATCTACTGGCCTGGAACTATAGTACACTAAGTGGGATGGCCAGCAAGCTCTAAGGATCCACCGATCCATCTGTGTTGTCCAAGTCGCCTCCGCCCCACTCCCACCCCCAACCCCCGCCCCACGCTGAGACTACAAGCACATGCTACCATGCCCAGCTTTTGAAAATGAAGGTTCTAGTGATAGAACTCCAGATTTAAAAAAGCATTTTACTATCAATACTGTTGTAACCAGTATCATACAAAGAATATGAGGGTGGTAGTCAGCAAAAGTTTGCTCAGAAGAGTACAGCTGAATTCTACATTTAAGGTTTAGAGACATTTTCTCAAGGCTACTCCATTAATCTGTCTTCTCCCACCTTTTGTTTTGGAAACATGGTTTAGCTATGCATCTAAGGCTATCTGAATCACTATGTAGCCCAAGCTGGCTTTATACTGCTGGTGATCCTTGTGCCTCAGCCTCCCAAGTGCTAAGACTGTAGGCATGTACACTTATACCTGACTCAATGCTCTTTTTAGTCACTAGTTGGCCAGAGTCTGGTCCTTCGTCATGGATGTAGTTCAGTGATAGAGTGCTTATCTAGAACAAATGAGGCTCTGGGTATGATTCCTCAGAATCCCCCACATCCACCCTAACAAAAAGAATTCCTAGTCCTTTTAAGACTGTGATTTTATCGCTTATACCAAATTAAGCCTTTTAACCCACTAAGTTGCTTAGTAAAAGAAGGTATGTATTGGTGGCTACACCAATACTAAATGAGTGAATAATAAAGCTCACATTTTTTCCTGTTTGCTCACAAAGATTTTTTTTTTTTTACATTTTCTTCATACCTAGGTATTTAGCAGCAATTTCTTAGTAATATGCTTTTGTGCTTGGGTTGGACAGTGACTAGCTAGAGCTTGATGACCAGAATACCATGAGGTCCTTAAACATATACGTACTTGGGTGAGGACGGCCTGCCAGCATCCACCGAGGATCATATGGGGCCTTTGTGGGAATGAACTCGATGATTCTATCTATAGGATCCTTGGAATTCAGGAGAGGAACTGAACTATGCACGCTCTAAAGAAAGACCAGGAGAGAAAGATCACACCCATCAGCAATGTCAGTCTCATACCTCAACTCAGTGCAACAGCTCCAGACAGAGGCAGCAAGGCCCACTACAGAACTACAGCCATAGGTTCTGATCATCATAGCTGAAGCATACATTATGTGTCAAGGAACATGCACAGTTCCCAATTCTCATTTAAAAGCCTGACACACAGTGGTGCATTGTGACCACTGTGCCCTTGCTCTTTGAGAAGCAAGCTCCTGGAGCAAAAATGGCTACTACAGGAAGGAAACTCATAGGGATGAGGAAGTCTTAGTATTTGGGGATGTGAACATATATATGCCATGAACATATCTGTTGCTAGAAAACAGCGGGGCTTAGTGAGATCCAAAAGACAGCTTCAAGAAAAAGAAATATACAGGTTTCAGGGAAATACTTCATTAAAAATAATTCAATAGGATATATCAAACACATTAAGCTGTGGCAAAAGTGGAGGGAAGGGCTCACCTTGGGCATGTATGACAGCCATTGTAAGACTGTGAAAACCCCCTCAAAGTCATCACAAACAGTAGAGTGGGTGACCCCATTGTTGTGCATGATCTGGATGCCTCCAAGCTGATTGTTGGAGGTATACACTTCCCGACCAAGGACCTAGACAAACAAGCAAGTAAAAAGACATTTGTTTCTACAGATATAACAATGTATATTCTTTCCTAATTCTCACTAAAATGTGTTTTTTTTCTTTCCTCCAACAGACAAAAATAACCCCATTTTCTGTGCCCTGTTCAGAGGGACTTCTAGGATTTCCTTTCTTAAAACACAAAAAGATCTTTAACAATTACATACGCTGTTGCAGTTTTAAAACCATCAAGCTCTCCCTTTCTAGAAGCCACCACAGACATGTGCAGTGGATTTTAACTCTGAGCTAAATTATGGTAGGTAGGCTGGGACCCTGGGGCACTGGCTACATCTTCATATACAGGTCTGGTAGAGTTATGCGTGTACACACACACACACACACACACACACACACACACACACACACACGGAGTGTATATTGAAGAAATGCTATGGGGTTGATGCCTCGTTTTTCTAAAGGATTAGCTTTTTCCTTACATCTGATTTTTAAAGTTGGCATACTATCTCCCTCCCCCATCACTAAACCAGACAAAATCCTGAAGCAGTTCATGACACACAACAAACCCCCTAAGACTCCAGCATCTTTGTGTGTTGGGTGTGAGGCTGTGATTTATTTCCCAAGCCTGTTTCCCTCTGAGGCCTCACCCCAGTGTCTCTGGAGGACTTTACCCTTGTCAGGTTGGGGGCACTTGCAAACGGAAACTACAAAGTTTCCTTTAAAGAAGAAAAAAGAAAGAAAGAAAAAATATTCTTGTACTTGGAAATTGTAGGGTTTCATTTCTTCCTGAAGATTGGTTAATAATTTCTTCCAGGGAGGGAGGTTTTCTGACCCAGCAGATGGAAGTCAGGTGGCCTGATCACTGACTATTGCAAACTGCTGAGTGTGTAGTAATTGCCAGTCATCTAGGGTAACCCTGGAGAGCGCTAAACAGTTGTGGAGTGCTCACTGTATGTTCTCTTTTCTGTTCACTCTCTTCTCTTTTAAAAAACAACATAAAAATTTGTTTTTTACTAACTTTTATTCATTTTAGCCTCTTGGGAGAACCTAAACAAATTAAGGGCCAACAAACTCTGCCTATATATTTTCAATTGGCCCTTTCTTATTAGCGGCTTGGAAGGGTTCCTCTGCATGTTGGGTCAGCCCCCTACATCAAGACCTTCCAAAGACTGAGCAAGTTGGTGACCAAAATAATAACCTCACTGTGATCCTGCTGGCCTTAGTACCATTTAACTTCAGTTAGGAAAGGCATAGCGAGTTTTCTGAAAAGAATATGGAGAGCAAAATTGCTCTCCGATTACTGCTTTCCTTGATAAGAAAACACAGGGAACAAGCCTTTCCAGGCAGCCCTAAGCCAAGTAACATGCTGGCAGCTCTTTTGAAGGAGCCGGTGAACAGGGGAGACCATATCTGACCAGTGGGCTGCCATCCTCCTCTCAGTCTGTCTTTAATCTTAGCCCAGGCACTGCAGCTCTTTTCTCATTCTCCTGCTGTCTCTTTCCATTTGCCCTCTCTCTGACTGATACACTGATCTCTCGGTCACTTGGCTTTCTGCTCCACTGAGTCCATATTACTAATAACACCTCCGCCACGGCCAGTTTACCTCATGAAGGCAAGAGCACATCATTACAAAATAAACTCATAACTTTGACATTCTAGCAAATACATGCCGTTTGTTATTTTTATGGCTTTAGTCTTTCTAACAGGCAGAGGGCATTACATACCTGTTTCATTTATATCTTTAAGCGTGCGTGCACACATATTCTTGCACATTCACCAGGAAACAAAACAAAACAAAAAACCAGACCACTACAAATTTCTAAAGCAGTCAGTTGATAGGGGACTCTGGTGGGGCAGAAGGCCCGTCATTCAGGGAGGCCACGCTCTGATCTGACTCTGATTTTATGGCTGTCATAAACCCGATGGCCCACAACTGGTCCTTCTGGGACAGACTGCTTCTCTGCTAGAAGTCATTCAGTGTGATCAGCAGTATTTTTAATTATTAAAATAAAATTGGAAAGGAGAAATGAAATAAAAAGGAGACACTGTGCTGACCCTGAATATCTGATATTCACAATTTATGTTAGGAGCCAGATATTCCCTGTTACATAGGAAAGAGGTATTTTCTGTTTAGAAACATTATTTTTAGTCCAACTTCTAATACTTAATGATGTCTAATTATAAGAACACTGGGCAGTTACAAAACTAGCAATGAGCTAATGAAGGACCAAGCTCAGACAAAGGAACCTAAGCCAACCAAGAACAGCTGTGTTAAATGCATCATCTTAAATGTCTTCACCCTCTTTTCAAAGAGTTGAAGAGGACATCCAGAACCAGGCAACTCCCAGCCACTTACTATACTAATTGTTAATTTTTAATTTTATACTAATTGTTATTTTGAACCCAGCACACAATTCTTTGAACCCTAATTCTACATTTTCAAAGTAGGAGCAAGATTCAGTAACTTAGTACATCTTCTCACTCAAGCTCTGATGCTTTAGAAATGTTCAGGAAAGCAGCATTTCTACATTTCTTTTCCTCTGGGTTCCAAAGAAACCCTAGAGCTCACAACAACTGTACTAACAAATGCTTACTATCTGAGAAAATTCATTTAATTTATTAATAAAAGAGAAATAATAGGACAGACTAACCGAGCATCCAAAGAACCCTTTCTGATCAGTGTTAGCTTTGGGAAATGGGGGTGGGGTAGATATGGAAACACAGAAATGAAGCCCTTCCTTAACTACAAACAAACAGCAACAATCACAGTTACTCAACAATCAAGAGAAAAGCATACCCCTGGTTATCTTCAGCTGCCTGTAGGTTTGGAGTATGCACCAGTGAGATGAGAGCTCTCATAATAGCTACTGATTTGTAGGGGTCATTGCTGACTCAAGTGGTTTTAATGATTTCAGAATACTTACAATGAAAGCTCCAACCAAGGAAGCAAAATCTGGGCTAGGACAGATTCTATTCTGCCTAACTCTGAAATGATTATGCAGGGATAGCCACAAAAGTCCTAGCTGGCAACTAAAAAATAAAAAGCACCCACAAGAAATCACTGTTTTTCTCAATATGTAGGCCTACAACCCTTGAGAAAAAGCTGTGGGTCAACAGTGCTCTGTCATCGTATTTTCATCAAGCAGGTAGCTTCATTTGTCACTTATTTAAACTCTGACAGAGGCATATCTGTATTAGTCAAATTCCTTGCAATGTTTGTGGTTCTTGAATCACTCCCCTTACATTTTCTACTACATGAGACAATCTTCTAATTTATTTGTCTAACAAGCATCTACCATCATTAAACACAAGAGACATTCAAAAGGGCATTCCTGAGACCACCTTTGTCCTCTAGTTCTAAGTGGCCAAAGCAGCTCTATGGAATAAGAAAAACACCATTCCAGGGTCCTTTGCTTAGGAGTGCCCGGGCCACAGAACCAAAAGGTTAAATCTGAGAGCAAAGAGGATCTTTATCCAGTCTTGCTATATACTTAAGCTTCATCGAATGCTCCACTTATTGTAGCTGGCAGACTTAAGAATTAAAGTATCTCATGAAAGCCAGTGATTAGTAGAGATGCAATTGTTAAAGGTTTCACCAAAGGTGCTATAGAGCCTGCAGAAATGCTGAGATGCCTAAGAGCTATAAATGAATGCAGTCATACATTCAAAGGCCGCTGTTGCTGCTGCTGCTGCTTATCCAGAGACACTGCAGACAGCTCAGGTTTACCACAGCTGACAGGCAATGAAAACAGTCTAATATACCGCCTGCTCTCACCCTTAAATCCCTTTTTGGAGATCAAGATAAACACATTCTTCCTTTCCCCAGTGCTCCAGACGTTTGACTGAAGTGGCAGAGTACTGTGAGGGTTTGTGCAAATGAAATCACTATGTAATACTGAATGTGTATTAGTATTTACTTGTCAGGATATGTGTCAGTAGAGGTATTGAGATTTTCAAGTTTCACTGATGCAACTTGTCTCGATTTTTAAAATATTGCTTTTATCATATTATCTTAGGGACCTTTAGAGTTATATGCAAACATCTGCAATCATGTGATAATATGGAAAATAATGATGGTGCATATCAATTAATAATAAAAAAGGAAATTTGCATGTTTCTTCCCTTTTTTAATAATCTTTGGAGAGTCAGGGCATTTACTATTTTAACAGGGAGCACAAAATTCCTCCCAACCTGAGAATCAGGCTACACAAGTGGAGTCCTTGATGCAATCTTCTCATAGTATTTCCATTCTCCAGAAGGTAAATTTACTGAGCAATCATCATCACTGGATGTCATGCATGATTCTAGGTATTAAATTCACTCTGGGATGCTATTGATAAAGGATTGGGAGGGCAGAAAGATATGAGCAAAAGCAGATAGGAGTAGGGAAAAAGTGGTTAACAGGGACAAAAGAGAGAGAGGATGAAATAGAAGAGGCAAAGGAGAGAAAGGGGGAAGGGAAAAAATGGTAACAGTACATCTATTCAGTGCTGCTAGCATCCTCCTTGACCTGAGAAAACTACATTTTTAACAGCTGACAAGTAATTCAATCTCCAATTAACAATTCTAAGTGGTGCTGCACATATTATTGTGTAAATGTTTCTCTAGAAATATATCCATGGATGAATGGAATTAAATTTCCTGGTAGCAAGGGACAATACCTCTGTTACCAAAAATATTTGGATGTTACAAAACACACAGCTAAAGGGTTATACTTCTTTCTGTACCTTTGCTGTCACTGCTAGCACTGGAGAGCCAGCTGGCAGCTGGTGGGTTAGGCTTGGGGGTGGAGAGGAAGCCCAAAGATACACATTGTTGGGTAGTGGGGCTGATTTGAACCATAGTTTGAGTCAAGATAATCCCCTTGCAAGCCTCAAAACTCTTTCAATAAGAAACAAATTCTGTTGTGATTGAGTTTGCTGAAGAGCGAACTTGGGCAAAGAGACTTGTTACCAGTGGCAAGAAAATAATTTGATTTTGTTTCAAATGTACTTTAAAACAAATGTCTTGCTAT